AAGCCATCGACACCTGCGGTGACTCATTACCCGCCAATATCAGACGGAGTTCTGAGTCTACCTGTCGCTTCACGACTACTCACATTGTAGGTTTCTCTTCTCTCAGGTACTCCCGAGTCGGGCTAACCACAACCAGATACATCGATCACTTTCACCCCTTCTTCCCCGTAGCAGACAAATGCATCCTCACCCACACCCCCGCCACAGTCTCCTCCCTCATCGACTCAGAACCCCACCTCGTCACCGCAATCTTCACCGTCGCCTCCAAAGACGAGCCCTCCATGACCCGCGTCCACGAGGCCTGCTCGCGGTACATGGAGACCCTCATCTCAAAGCTCATCTACAAGGGGTCCACCACCGTCGGCGCCGTCGAGGCCCTGCTGATCCTCGCGCAGTGGGCGCCGCAGAGACTGCAGGAGAAGCCTACCGTCGGGCGCGGCGAGGAGGACGAGGGTGCGTGGATGCAGATTGGCGTCGCGATACGGCTGGGGTACCTGCAGAGTCTGGAGCAGACGGGGCTGCTGTCGGATAAGACCAGCCCGTCGTCGGAGACGTTTCGGAGGAAGAGGTTGGTTTGGGCTGGTAAGCCTTTCCTTGGTGACAAGTCATGATGCAGTCGTGCTGACGTTCGTGTCCTTGGGTCATCAGCTTGCTACATGAGTGACAGAGAAGTATCGATCCGTGTAGGCAAGGGGTTCTGGTCCCGTGGGCCGGGACCGTCGACGGTGCCACGCTCTGTGGACTTCCCGTCCCTGAGGATCCAGGATGCCGGGGGAGACAACCTCGGACAGCTGTTCCAGGCTCAGCTTGAGTTGATACAGCTCTTCAGCAATGCTCATGACATACTATACTCATCGTCGAGTCATAGAGCTCAGCTGTACCTTGGCGGAGAGTACGTGAGGTATATAGTAAGTCGAGCCCCTTTCACCTATCTTTCCCATTGGAAGTCGACTATCATCACTCTTGATTTTTGTTTCTCTTTACCCTCATCGACTCACAACTGTATCACAGGACGATTCATTTGCGGTGCTTCGTAAATGGAAGATCGTTTGGGGAAGCCTCAACTGTAAGCCGACAACCTCTCCAAGCCGCCCTCGTGCCCTTGGGCTCACTTCCCATGAATGAGCCCAACTAACACTCAACCTCCAGTCACGCCCCTAATAAAAGCAGGCCTCAACCTCTCCTACGAATTCCTCCGCCTCTACATCAACGCCTTCGCCTTCCAAGCAACAATCAACCGCGCAATCACCAAAGCGCGTCAACAACAGCAGCAACAGATGCAGCATAACCAACAACAATATCAACAGAGTCAACAGCAGAACATGTCCTCAAAGGATCAGAAACAACAACACAACGGACACGAGACAACGACGGCATCCCAAGCGCCAGCAAGACACCCACCACCGCCGCCGCCGCCAACAACAACGACGACATACAGCAGCCCTCTGTTCGCAGACCTCGCCAGCACCCCCGACGCCCGCTTCATCTACGAATCAATGGACGCGGCCAACTCTCTTTTGAACATCCTTAACTCCTCTGTAGACCCGGCTACCGGGTTAAGGTACATGCCGATAAAGTACTACCTCTACGTAATTTACGCGGCCGTGTTTCTCTTCAAGGTATGGCAGCCATCTTACCTTTACTCCCTCGCACATCGTTCTAATTAATACAAACAGGCCCGTCTCGCTGGCGCCCTAGGAAGCGAAGCCTCAGAAAGCGTCCGCCGTTCAATAAACGTCACAATCGAAGGCCTCCAACGCTCGTCCCTGAGCCCGCACAGCCTAGGCCAGCGCTATGCACGCCTCTTATCTCTCCTGTGGCGAAGTAAACCAGAGGAACAGCAGCAACGGAGTCAAGGACCTACCCTACAATCCAACGTCACCATTTCCGGTCCGGATGGTCATGCCGTCGATGCCGCTAATGCCGGGGTGCCGTGTCCGGCATTCGGTCTCCATAATGGGGCAGGCGGCCCCGCGTCCGTGTCGGTGCATGTACCGACTGTACCAAGCTCGGCCGGCGCCGGTAACAGCAATGGGTATGGAGGTATGGGTGGACATGCCGACCACCATCAAGGGTTTGGTGGGATGCCACATGGCCATGCACATTCCAATATGACTGCCTTCCCTCATCAACCAGATCTTCTAGTCAGAGGCTTCTCGTGGCGCGATCTGGATGATCTGGGGCAATTCATCGGGCCGGCGGACATGAACTTTTCTGATCCTGCCAATTTGGCAGTGATGGGCGGGTCAATAAACCTGGATGAAGGGGCAGGGTATGATGTTCTCTGGCCTGGGAATGATGTGGTCTTTTGAGCTCTTTTGGTGAGCGGCAGAAGGTATCTCAACAATGAGTACAGATTTCTGAGTGGAAACGCGCTATGGAAGTAGGTTGTAATTCTAGAAGGAGACACTCGCGTGTGCATGGAAAGGACAAATGTTCGTGGCGTTCAAAAGTAAGGTGTGTGCCTGTATCGCATGGGTCGTCTTTGAATCAAAGATATCAACAATGAAGGAAGATCGCACAAAGGCAAAAGTCTCAGTCGCCGACAATGTTGATGATGCAAAGATATTCAACCCTTACGTTAGGAAGATGACGTGAGCTTGCTGCACATCTCTTGGGAATGTGATGTTACGGAATGTGGCGATGCAATTCCTGCGATGTATCATTTTCGTAGAGAGGAAGTAAGTTGAACAGACATTCTGCCTCGTGTCTCTTCCGCTCAATTTACCACGGTCAAAAGTCACTGGCAAAGGTTTATCGAAGATGAGAGACTGATGAGGCCTGGGATGATATTTCTGGGTCTATATAAATGCCCATACATCACGCTCAACTTCTTTCCAAAGGAACCAAGGTCCGGGGGAGGGCATACGTGGCCAGGCAGCTACGGCAGCTCGAGGTCACTGTGACCGAAGGATAGAGGAAGGTCAAAGCAACAAAACTGTTCAAAGGCTTTAGGCATTTGGCACCATACCAGAACAATATCCCCGCTCCGCACCAATACCCTTCACGAGCTTCTGTATATTCGATCTCAATACGTTATAGAGGTCTAACGATAATCATTAACAAGGGACGATACGTACGCCGAGGATAGTCTTCGAGTAATTGCACTTCAAATAGAACCTACTAATCCATTCCTAAATTCCTCAAGAACCTAAATCCTCTATCATATCGATTATGGACCGTCTTCGTTATCTTCTCACTCTTTTTTTACTAACTACTCAGATGCCCACCCCGAGGCTAAGGTTCCTACCTAGTTTTTCGCGGAAGCTGTCGCTGAGGTAGGTAGGCACCCAACGAACCTGTCCACTTAGTAAGACCGCCGAGATTAGAAGCCAAGATAACCCCCTATAAAAAGAGCATTCATTCCCCCGACTAAACTAAATCTAGGCTTCAACAGGGTAACAGCTTCCGCTACTATTGTGCCACCGGGTAGCCATAGGCAACAATCACCTACCTTAGGACTCCTAGCTCGACCCCTCGTACATCTTATCCCGAATCCAATCCTAAAGCTATGCCCCACCACCACTTGGGACGCTTCTCTACCCGCTGGGTATTGCTCTTGAATAAACGACGAATGAGGAACTTTGCTTAGTACCAAGATAATGTCATCTGCACTTTGGGCAAGATGTAAAGAACCAGACGCTTATGCTTTTGCGAACAGTTCAGTTTACTGCGCACAACCTCAAACCCGATTATCAAGATTGCCACTTGGTCGGCATCCTCAGAACGCTCTACCAACATTGTGCCCCCAGAAACAAAACATCCTCGACAAATGGCCGTTTATATAGGTCTTCTCACACGCCTTGAAAAAACGAGGCAAGCCCCTCAGAGGTAACTCGCAGCAGCTCTCACGACCGACTCGGAACGAGACAACCTCAACCGCAGTCCAAATCAGAGGCTTCTAACAAATGACCTCACACGTCGTCACAAAACACAACCTCTACATAGATCCAGCCACACGGACATCCCTCCACAATCTGCATCCAGCTTGTCACCACCCATCCCGCCGGCACTCTCCACACCCACGCACCCCTCCCCGCCCCCTCCGGGTCCCACACCCCCGGACCCCGCAACCACCCGCCCCGAAACGGCCTCGCACCCCGGCCCCTCCGCGCCGAAAGAATCTCACCACCAACCCCCCCCCCCCCCCCCTCCGTATCCCGCCGTTCACCTTCCGGACCTACCTACGAAGCTTACCAAAATAAACAGTTTCCAATGCCAACGAAGAACCAAGAATAGAAACATCCAACCAAAGAAACGGGGCCACCTTCTAGCCCCAAGCCACGCCGGTGTCCCCGATCAACCCAACTCCCCTCCAAATCACCCCATCAACGCCGTATGTTTCACCCCCAACGCCACATCACAAAGACCCCTGACCTCTCACCTCACACCTCAAATCCAGTGAAAGAAACCCCCCAAACAAAGAGAACCCCGGCATCGCAACCGAAACGTAGACCAACGTCAACGTGCCTCCGTCTTTTCCCCAAAAAGTCGAGACCGTTTCCCCCGGAAAGATTTGGAACGGTCACCATCTATGTCAGATCATCTCAAATCACGAACCACATTTCATCCTTCCCACCATAACCACCACTCCAAGCCACACATAGCCAGAACTCCCCGTCCACGCCCAGGTCGCACCGACAAAAATCCTCGCCTGACATGGAAGCCCTCACCACCCTTCTAGAACACACCATCCCAAAGTCCGAGAACGCCACTCTCTCGACGGCCTTTGACGGCATGACAAGCAAGGCCTTCCAAATAAGAGGGGACTTGCCCAACACAAAGATATGATAATCGCAAATTACTGACAAAGGGCTTCACCTTCATAATAAACGGGTATTTGATATTCTGATTCTGAATAACATCGAGGCGCGAAGAAAACCCCTACTGAAAGGAACAAATAATGTCCGAGTCTTTTTTTTTAAAAAAAAAAAAAAAAAAAGAAATAGACTACGGCAAGTCAGACGCGTCTGAGAAAGTTATACAGTAGTAAAAATGAATCGGAGAGAAGAAGAAGATAAAGAAAGATTGGTTTCCCAGCTGATATATACAAAACACCGACGCTATCCCCACAGAAAGTAGACAAAAAGTTTGAGCCATCCGCCTCTAAGAATTTTTTTGGTTAAGTTCATGAGCTCAAATCTAAAAAGGTCACCGAGTAAACTGGGACATTGATTGTCCCCGAGCTGAGAGTGAGAGCCCGGACATCTCAGGCTCCCTCCCAGCCCTACTTGCGAGTGCAAAATACTCGCCTTGAACATAATAAAGAAAAAGGGGAAACCAATGGGAAGTACCCAACAACCAAGAAGCAAGTCATCATGCGCATGCCAGGTTGTCTCTCATGTACGCCCACTGTCCGTCCGGCAACCAACCGTGCGTTCGTCCCACCTACTCGTACAACCGGGCCCCAAATACCGTAACCGAAACCCATTTCCTTTCCCTGTGTCCCGTCGTTATTGCCAGGGGGTATCACGGAGAGAACGCCTCTCCAATATCATTAAACCTCTGCGCCTTGTACCTCTTCGCGGAAGCGCACGCCGCCGCTGACCTGGATCGCTCCATTGACCCATTCGTTGTCTGCCACCTTCTCTAGTACCCACCGACTCCTTGCGCGTTGCAACAGGCCCTCGGTAATCTCCATTGCACCGAGGAGACCGCGCTCCTTAAACTTGGCTTCGTCGCCTTCGTGATCGCCATCCTGGCCGGCATAGTCGATCCAGCGCCACTCTGCGCGTGCTATGCGGTGACTGGTGCGGCTGCGCATGCGGTGGCCGTCCATCGTGTTTGGGTAAGGATCGAAAGGCAAGCGAGCTTCGAGAAGTGCGTAGAGCAAGACACCCAGAGACCACGCATCGGTGGCGCGGCCGTCGTAGGGCAGTCCCATGATAACCTCGGGAGCGGCATAATCCTCCGAGCCACATCTCGTCTCGAGTTTCTCGTCGTCGGTGATGCGGCGGGAAAGACCGAGATCGGTGAGGGTGATGACCGAGTGCGGGTACGTCGTCCAGTCAATTGAGGGGTCTGCGAGCTCAGGTGCCGTCAAGTTCACGAGTACATCTGGGAGTAGTCAGCAAAGGGTAGCTCTCCATTACCAAGAGAAATACCCACTCTCGAGCTTGATATCCCTGTGGACGATCCTGCGCTCATGCAGGTACCGTACAGCGCCCACCAACTCGGCAAACATCCTTCGCAATAAGGCTGGTTTGAGAAGTTGGCGATGGCCTGTAGCCACGTCGAACAGATCGCCCCCAGGGCAATGGCTGAGGACCAAGATGGCGCGGCTTGGCTCAATGTTCCACGCCTTGAGGTGGACCAGGGAAGGGTGGCTGATGGTCTGCATGATCTCGAGTTCGCGCTTCAGTGACATTTCGATTCTCTCCTCGCTCGCTCCTCCTCGAGGGCCGTGTTCGCAGACCTTGACTGCGACAAGAGTCTTTCTGAATGATGGCGACATTTTGGATATCGGGGTGAGGCTGTTATCGGTTCGTAGTAATTCGCTTCCGTCATCCATCTGGCTCGTTGCCAGCATCACTCGACTGAACGTTCCCTGGCCAAGGGTCTTGATTGCCCTCCATCTTCTCTTCTTTCGGTCGCGGCCGTAGGCTTCGAAGTACTCGGGTATCGCGGGTTTCGGTTTGCCGATGGCCATTTCGGTCGAGTCTCTTGATGATTCGCTCGGTGGCGGAGTCGGTGGTTGCACAATCGCCGGTGTCAGGCCTCTTGATTCTGCAAGATTGGCCTCCCGGCGCATGTGCGGCTGGAGGCCAGAGTCGGGGCCGTTTGTCGGCTTCGTGTGGGAGCCCGAGACGGTGATGTGTCGCTTGGGAACGTAATTGGGATCCGGGATGTACTCGCTGATGCTTCGGTTCCGCGCGTGTTCGGCCTTGCCATTCACCGGCCCCTTTGCGCCCGCACCGTCAGAGCCCTCGGCCACCAGGCCAGCATAGACTTTGCGTTTTGAGGCGTTGGCCAAGGCTACCGCTATTGATTCGCCGGTAGACGTGACGAGGACGGAGTCCGGGGCTGGGTTTTGCATTTGATCCCTTGAAGGCGGTCGCACACCAAGACGTCTCCAAGGGCCGGGTGAGTCTCCAGATAACAAAGGTGAAGGCAGCGGGGTGACGTCGCTCATAGCCGAGAGAATCGGACTGGGCATGCACGAACTTGTAGCCGATGCGGGACCTAGGCTGTTGGCGATGGCAGCTTTGAAGCTTGGGGTACGGGATATGGGTTTGAGATTGGAGGACGAGGTTTTATTTTGGAGGGCGTTACTCGGGCGGCGCGGGGTCGAAAGGGCGTCGTTTGAGTGAATGTCGGTTCGTGTGGGGAGGTTGGGATGAAAGTCTGACGTCTGGATTCGGAGTGAATTGCTGGCGGCAAGTGGACTGGGGCCGGGTCTCTGACTCGAGGGAGGCTCCAGTTGCTGAAAGGATGATTCGGACAAGGGCGGCGAGGGTGCTATTGTGTGTGTCTGGAACTGGATCTGAGGGTTGGAGACGTAAGGGAAAGAGATGTCGTTGAAGTCTGCTGCATTGTGGGTGTTTGTATCTGAGGCGAAGGGACCGGAACTCCCATCAACCTTGTTCTGGTGTTGGGTTTGTAGAGGCATGGACTGGGGTGGACCGTTTGACATGATTATATGCAACGTGTGGACGAGGTGGGTACGGACGGTCGTGGGTATCGGTATCGCAGAGAAGCGTTGCTGGCGGGGGATGGACCGGCGCGAGGTTATCAATGGGAGGGTGGCGACCGTCTGCGATTCGTAGGACGTAGTACGTGGACGGGACGGGATGAGCTGGCTACACACGGCGCCCACAGAACCGGGCCAACGTCAGTCACCACCGTTCCTTTTTCTCGCGCAGACGTCTTCCGTTTTGGGTCTTGGAGTAAAAGAAAGGTGTAGATTGTGTGGTCCGTGGGGGTGTGTTGTGTTTGAGAAGAAGCAGAAGAAGTAGAGTTGGGAAGAAGATGGGGGATGAACTCACCCGATGGTCCGGTCTTTCTACGTAGTACCTATATAGGTAGATCTCTCTCGCTCTTTATGATGCAGTTGAGAAACCTTGGCGGTTCAAGCACCTAACAGTCTTCTCTTTGGATGCGATTGACTCGGGGTCCGCGCTGTGCAGCACACACAGGCAGGGAAGAAGGGGTGGGAACGAGAGAAAGGAGCCTTTGGCGGTGGCCGCACGCAAGGAATGGCGGGGGGAGAAGAAGGGAAACAAGGAGCGGGAAAAGGGAATGAGAACTGCAGAGAGAGAGAGAGAGAGAGGGAAGAGGTTAGGGTAAATGAAGGAAAGAGAAGGGGCAGAAACAACAGCAGCGATGAGAGGAAGGGGGGGTGGGCTATGACGAGAACATGGGGGAGGCTCGGTTGGGCTATGTTGAGAGAGTGAGAGAAGTGCAGCAGCAGCGTAGCGGCAGTACGGAGTAGAAGGTAGGTAGGTAGGTAGCAATAGCAAGAGAAGGATACGACAGGTAGCGTAAAGGTGACAGACAAGCACTTTTGGGGGCTGCAGAAGCAGCAAGCGGAGCGTCAAGCAAGTCGGCGGCGCAAACGCAACGCAACGTCCCAGTGTAGGTAGTGTAGTGTCTTATGCCAGGATCAAGCCCAAGTCGAGGTGTCCCTGGGATGCCGTGCCCGAGTAAGGTATATGCGTGTGTGTAAGATAGGTAGGTATTCGTTTGTTCTGTGTGTAGAGAGGTGTGTGCCAGTTTCCAACCGGAGAGAGAAGGGATGATGGAAATGGTTCAGGGAGCATGAGAAACAAAAAAAAAACGAAAGGGAATGGAAGAAAATGGCAGTCAGTGACAGGGAGAACCGAGCGAACAAGAAGGAGCCCAAGAGCAAGAGCGCGGCGCGATGCGGTGCCAAACCCCCAAGAGCCCAGAGAGAGAGAGAGAGTCCACAGTCGCCCACCTCAAGCAGAAAAAGCCCAGGTGCGACTGGACTGGACGCCAAAAAACTAAAGGTGGAAAAAGAACGGAGACGGCAGGGTCAAGGTCAGACATGTTGTACTGGGTAGCACGGGAGGCCGTTCGAAACGGAGCCAGTCGTGGACTAGTCACCAGTCAAAGACGGGGGCACGGCCTCACGTCAAACGTTTGATTGGCTCCATTGAGACCGAGGAGGAACAAAGTACGAGGTCTGACTAAGCCAGCCAAAAGGTCAGCTCCTCTCTCTTCCAGGTCCTCTCTCTTCATGTACCTATCTTTGGGTACCTACGTATTTTCAATGTTCAATGCCCCGAGGCTCACGAGACTCAAATCCTAAAAAGAGAGCATCATGTTCGCCAAAGACTCAAACCCGATTGCCGTCCGTATAGGCTGTCAGCCCGAGGCAAGAGGCAGAGAGAGAAAAGTACCTTGCGTGCCGACCTCACCTTCCTGTACCGATACCAGACCCTGCCTGCAGTTGCCAGTATCCGCGTGCAGAGTGCAGATGTGTGTCAATGCACGGCTGTCGGTCGGGTCTAGCCCCCTCCGTCTCCGGTCCGTATTCGCCGGCCTACCTTCCTTACCTAACTCTTTCGTCTCCTCAGTCCTGGTTCTCCCAAGATCAGCATCCTACGCAGGTAGGCACCTTAGGTAGGCAAGCTGTACGGAGTAGCGTACGGACGGACCACTGCGTATGGGTTCAGTTCATAACGGATCAAATACCACTGCGGATCCCCGCCCACTCTCCTTCTGAATTCACACTCATCAGAGTCATCACACTCGTGACTTTTATTGATTTGCAGAAAAACCCTCTTTTCATCACATTCCCTGGCCATTCTCCATACCCGCTTGCTTTTCCTAAACCTCTTTTTGCCCATGCTCCCTCGGCTGCAAGATTAGACGCATATGCGCAGCAAGGTAGTCCGTGATTCCCTCTCAGATTGGGCTGATAACCTTGGATGTTCCTAATGGCCCTCGAGATACTCCGTATTCCGTACCTTACGGATATCCGTACGTACCTGACCTGCCTTAAGGTACCTTACCTTATCTTGCCGCGACAGAGGAGCAAGGGTGGAAACAAAGAACGGCATTGGTTCCACAATTACCCGGCCGGGCAATGAATCAATTTTGCAAACGCAAGCCTCAACCTCCAAAGGCAAAGCGTGGCAAGCTTGCCCTTCTTTCACCATGCGCCTTACCTCCTTACCTTACACCAAGGGCACCTTTCCGTACAAAGGAAACTGAAATTCCAACGTTCGTTGCCTCTGCAACTCAACCGTCCGTTCGTGCTTCTTTCATCGCCCTGGACCCAAAACAGCCAGCCAACCGTCGCCTCACCGGTCTGACGCTAATCCACCTGTTCCTTATTCGCCTACACTCATCTCTGTACACCATGTTTTTGGTTTCGGTGCCTCGTGGCCGTCGTCGTCACGTCTGTCCGGAGCCAGCCCAGGTGCGGAATGGCTGGTGTCAGAGCCACTGGTGACGGGTGACAATGGGCGGCACAGCTCGACCAAATGGCTCGAGTATGTCGTCCAATTCTACAAATAGTTTTCACTCGTAGTCGCTTCGCCCGGCTGGCCCCCCATGACATGACCGCGTCCAGTCCAAAATGGCCCGTCTGACGGTAATACGGCATTCTGCAACCCTTTAACCATTCGGTCCTTGGCAATCGGATACCGTAGGCATGCAGTCATGAGCCATGAATATCAGAATATGCCAGCCAGTGCCGTCCGGCCACAGTAGACTGACTGACTACAAACGACTGCATTGCCAAGCAGAGCCGGGCGAGTCTGCGTCTCGAGACAATTGAAGTAGATGCGCTGTCGCCGAACGCTGTTTGTCGAGCTCTAAGACAGCCGGCAGTGTCCTGGATCATACCCAATGCTCCTCTTGGGATCGTTCAACCTATCGGCCTTGATAAACATTAGCTGACCGCAGACCAAAGTCTTTGCAGAGACCAAGAAGCAAACCAAATCCTATAACAACCCCTTCACATTCGTCGTTTCAAGACTTCTCCAATCTCATGTCTAACTTAGTCGAGGAGGCGCCCTTCCAAACACCCATGTTCACACCCCCAGGAAGTGATGTGCCCGTCGGATATTACGTTACAGTGCATGTCCCTCTTTTCCCAGGTACACAGCGAGACCACTCGCTACAGCCCGTGACAGGTACCGCCAGTGTCCGCTGTCCATGTGGACGGGCAACGGAGTAGGGAGGCACGGAGGGTTTGGGGGCTCGCCTAGGCCATGGCCCATGGCATCAATTCCAAGGGCGTACAACCTCATAGGGCGACCGGTTCCAGTTGGGGATCGGAGCAGACGACTTTAAAATTGGCCTCGTCCAGAGCTGCTACCCGTTAAGCTGCTTTCGGATAGCGGTGGGCCGGTGAGGTTCCCACCGTGGCACCGTCTGGCTCGGAACTGGGTCCAGCGTCCCGTTTATTGACTTTCCCAATCTCCATCCGTGCCATGCTACACCGGCTGACTGGTTGGGCCTGGTATGTTGTTCCCTGCCTGTATCCCGTCCGCGATGGATCTTGTCTTTTGTTGGTCTCTTGTATGATTGCGTACCCGAAGACCTTGCTTTGGGTCGACTTGACAGAATGAAAGGGCCACTGTCGCGACAAATTCGCTGCCCACCAGTACTGTCTAGAGGAAGAGAGGGAGATCAACATACCGTGCGCGCAGTATGTGGCCTCTGTTTGGCTACACGGATGGGCTGTGGGCGGCTTGTGAAATGTTTCTGCCATGCACCTGCAGCTACCGGCGTCTGACCAAATGAACGGATTCGGCCCAGGGCGCATTCGGCCGGCGACAATGGCATCTCGACATTTCGCGTTCTCGACTGACTGTTGTTATCGGCTGCCTTTGAGAAGTTTGATCTATGACTGACCCAGTTCCGCTCGTGAGGTGGAATTGAGTTCAGCCAACTGGTAAAAGTCACTTGCCCAAGACCGTCGCGATCATTAGGGCCGCACTAGGCAAGCATATCATGAATAATGTTGACCTTGGGCTATGCGTGTAGGCCATGCCGGCAGCATCTCTATGGGCTAGGAAATGGTAGCGCCGGTGTGCCGGTATGCCGGCTCCCACCCTCGAGTTCTCGACCACTTTCCTGTAAGCGGTTGTAGGATGAATAGCGTGCGAGATTCTATCCACGAAGAAATGGAGGTGTTCCTCGACATGAAAGCTCCCTACTTGGTGTCAGCCTTCGTCCAACTTTGAGGGATAGGATCCGTGAACCGCAAGAGAGTGCCATGCGTGACAGTCTCTTCGCGTCCACATGACAATCCATCGCTAGGTACCACCGAGTCATTCGCACACTGTCGCCGATATTTGTTGTCAATGCTTCCTTCTGTTTGACTTTCAACGGCGCAAATGACGGATATGAAAGAGTCAGGTCGCTGCAGGTCAGAGATCTTATCTCTCCCTCGGCGATCTTTGCCGGTAGAGTCCATTGGATATCAATTACTTGGCCCGTAGTGACGTCCTCCGTTTTACGACGTTGACACAACGGTCACTACCCGTAACTGTAGGAAGCGGCGCTTCAAGCCATTCAGTCTGCGAAACGGGTCCTTTTCGTCAATACTGCTTTATCGAGACTCAAATGTTACAGGATGCTCACGCTTATTTCAGCCAGTAAGTCTGTCAATAGGTACTCGCATACCCATATCTAGGATCTGAGTCGCCCGCAAACGCCCCTCCCTCCCCCACAGGTTCCTATCCCGTTCCGCTTTCGCTCCATGTTCGCCTTGGGCAGCGTCGATTGGCCGCTTGTGCCCACGATGGACTAGGAGTGCGGGCTATTGGTGCCTTCTTCCCAGGTAGCTCCAACGCCTCAAAATCTGGTGCATGCCTAAAGATCTCTCGCAGCATCCGACATGGAATAGATGCATGATGACGTGCGTAGCAGTCACGACGGTTTGATCTTGTTGCCAGCGTTTTCTTTCCGGGTCAATGGTCATCAGCCAAGGGAAGCCGAAGCTGGTGCATCGGATCGTGAAGCGGAGGTCCGTCAACCAAAAACGCCCACGTCTTCCGTTCGCGTTGGCACCAATGTCCGGAGAATATCGCCGGTGTGTGCGACCGAGAGTATGATGGAGAAATAGAGGCAAATGGTCTTCGTCAGATTATCGTGGATATGGGGTTCTTGGTGTTGGTTTCGCCAGCATCGTCGTCATTCTGATGAGTAAGATTCAAGATTGAGGATGACTGCAGTCCAAGGCAGCGAGCTGCTGCTGTTACCCCTTCCTCTCTGCCTTGTGAGACTGAAAATGGAAGGACCACATCTACGGTGACCTAGAAGGTACCTGCCTGCCTACTTACCCGCTTACCTATCTTGCCGCTGCTTCTTTCCCTCCTTCATCGTCATGTCTCCTGCTTTCCTTCCTCATGCAGACCACACTTGTCACTGATACTTTAGGTAGATACCTCGGCCAGGTACCGGCTCAATGAATGTTCTGTGGTGTTCTTCTCGATTCTCCCCATCGACAGGTAATTGGGAAAAGGTAGCTGGGTACGTAGGAGAAGGGAGGGCAAGAAAGTATCTGAGGCAGGTAGGCTGCCATCTATCGCCACCTCATTTTAGGTAGGTATTCTCAAATCCAACTCTTGCAACCTGCGGTAAGAGGGGGGGCAGGAGGACAGGCAGACATATACTAGGCAGTAACAGCGTATTGAGAACGGCAAGCCAAAGTGAACGAAAGGCCAATGATGAGTTTGTTTCTTATGTGTAGATTAGGCATCGTGTATTTCCCTTCATGTCATTACCTGGGTGTAAACGCGTCTTGCTCCTCTAATTGGTATCTTCCGACTTCGTTTCTCTCCGCCACAACACGTCGAGTTCTTAACAACATCCTGAATCTTGTCACGCCTCTTCTGCTTGTGATCAAGGCCTGTCCAAATAAATTACCTCGCCTCGTTTCCGTCCCCTTCCCGTCTCCTTCCCCAGCTTGAGGTGCCTCCTTCTCGTGCCGGTGAAAGTGGAGAGTGGCCGACTCTTTCCCCGTTGATCTGTTGAACTTCCTTCCCGCCGGATCCCTTCCATCGAACCTCATGGTCCAAGCATCAAGTACCTTACTCAAAGTACCTAAAGTAAGGTACCTTATTATGCAAGCTGGTCGGTTCTTTCTCTCTTCCATTTCATGTATTCCCTCTCCTCATTGACCTCTGTCGCTTCTCATCTTCATCGAGGACGGTGACAGAGCCCCATCTTGGTAGCGACAATGACGTGCTAATGTTCTCCAGAAGGTATTGATGCGTTACGTCTCTCTTTACCCAGCATTCCGTAATCTCGACCTACGAAGGCTTGCTTCATTGTCCAGAGAAACCTCGCCTGGCCAGTCGATTCCGCTCATCTGCCACATACTTCAGATTCAGCTTTATTCGGGATCCAGAGCCGCCCTGAGGAGAGACTTGACGGCGCCAGTTCATGTCACCAGCTACCGCAGAGCCACGTTTCGATAAACTTGAGCAAAACGCCAATCATTCAGTGGCGGCATACAGGTAGCGTATGCTCGCAAAAGGCTACAGCGATTACCAGCTTCCTTGAGTGGCGTAACACCTGTCGTTGATCCTAGCAGATGTCTGCTTGGCCGATGGCCATCGTGTTTGGTTTGTGCAACAAAACAAGGTCGTCAAGTCTGCCGAATGCCGTTGTCATGTCTGTACAGATATTCGACCTCGGGATCGATCAGATGATCCACTGCATGTGGTGAGTACTCTGTCGACAGGACTGCAGGAGATCCTGACTGGGACGTGTTTGTCCATTCCAGTGCGCTCGCAGGAATACCGACAAACGATGAAGGGGATGTCTTGTCTACCCAACCAAAAGTGGGCAGCTCGAGCCAGCTTGGTGTTGCCCCTTCGCCGTCGTCGCACTTCCACAGCCATTCTGGCAGGTCTTCGAGGTCGTTCGTCCCATCGCTGTCGTCGTCGTACTCGTCAGTGAAGCCTTTCGATATCGATGCTGACTTCTCTGCGAAAGCTGCGAGTCGATCCATACGATATCGGTGTACTCGATCTGCCTTGGCTATGTTGTCTGTCTCTTGGAGTAGCTTCTCCAAGTTGGCCAACGCTGTCATGGAAATCCGTTCGTCTGCATCCGACGTTAGGGCGATACGAGCTGCCGACTTGAAAGACGTAATCGCCGCCGAGGTGCTGCCCATCCGATAGTACTTCACCCCCAGCTCGAGGTTAACAGCGGCTTCCTGCTCGTCTGTCATACTGTATGCATTCATATGAGCCGTCAGCACCTCAACGGCCTCGTCTAGTCGGCCCTGCTTTTCCTTGCAAGCTGCGAGGAGGCCAGCATGCGACAGAGCCATATCGCCAAGCCAAGAGTGATCTTGCCCCGAGGCCTCAGCTCGAGCCCGGTGCCGGCTGAGCATTGCCTCGCAATCCTCCGGATCTTGTCGAGCAAAAATGCAATCGAGATAGTCGCTGTACAGCAGATGCGTCAAGTAGTTGGCCGAGCCCACCCGCTGCTCGATGTCTGGCAGCAGCAGCGCATACAACCGCATCGAGAGTTCATAGTAGTCGGAAAACTCGGTCGCGCCCAGTCTACGCCAGATATGGGCGAGAATATGATGAGGCCCAAGCACAATCGGAATGAGCCCGGCCAAATAATCGAGAACCAGTCGAAGAAGATCATGTTTGTGGTGACGCTCCAGATACCAAAGCAGGCAGACCGTACGAGCAACAAAGTCTGGACTTTCGGCAGCTACAATTTCTTTCAGGGACTCGAAGGCCGGACCAAGGACACTATTGATGTTGATCTGGTCTCCTCGTATCATGCATCGATTAACCAAAGCAAAGCTGGCTATGACTCTCTCGAATAAGTCATTACTGCGGTCTCCGGGGTTGAAACGGGTATTGGAGCAGTCGACGTCGAAATCGCACCACCAGGCTCCAGACGAAAAGGAACCATCGATGTAATCTCGGAACAAGCAGAGAACCTGCTCGGTACTCTGCATCTCCATCGTTGGTGCCAAGGCTATCGCTGGGCTCGGAGGCGGCGAAGGTGTTCTGCAAGTCACCTCGAGTGCCGTTTGCACGCTGGGCGTCTGCCCTGCCCTGAATTTGGCCATCAACGAAGGGTTCCGTTTCAGATACCGGTTAATGTTGTCCAAATCTACTGGCTGCCCGCGAATTCTGAACTCAGTCGGTCTTTTCAGGAGGTCTCTGTCCCGCTTGAGAAGCATGATTGCCAGAACCTCATCACCCTTGAGTTTCTTGTCGAGGCCCCATTTCCATATTCTCGACTTGTACATTTTGACGCTGCTATTCTTCAGAAACTGATACGCTCAACATACGGTAAGGCGGGCTTACGTGGCGGCAAAATGGTAGTCGCGCTGCATAATCTCCATGACCTCCTTCAACGACTTCTTCTCTTCTTGGTACAGGCGGGTAATGATCGGTCGCTTCGTCTCCCAGATCTCGGCGGGCACGCGCTTACGCGGCTTTGCTGACTGCCCAGAGCTTGTCATTTCGTCAGCTTCGGAGTCAGTCGATGTTTTCCGCTTCGGCGGCACGGCTAGGCTGGAAGCTTTCATGGCGTTGGCTTTGTTAGGATCTCGACTCGACAAACACAACGAATGTTTGATGTCAATGGCGGACCATGCAAGATGATCTTATATCGGCGAATCTTCACTCTCACCGTAATGAGACAATTCATCAGAAGAACGCGGGGGATCAGATGGATATGTTATTTGAAAGCAGGAAAAAAGGGGACTCAAACGGTAAGCAGTCGAACCGCTAAGCCCGGTAGGGCCCTGTCTTCCCGCCCCCATACCAGCACGTCCGGCCTACTGGTGGCATTGGATCCAATGTCACCCCTCCCAGCGGCTGCACACCCCTGCAGCGAGAGGCCTTGCATCTGATGTCAATTATTATCGACCTTCCCCGAGCGGAATTGGACGGCCACAGATACCCGCTGAACCGCTGCCGACTCCCAGTCTCTCGCCAGGAAGGCGATACCCGCTGAACCGCTGCCGACTCCCAGTCTCTCGCCAGGAAGGCGATTTAGTGGCCAAGATGGTGACCATCGCCTTACAGGGGAGGTGTAAGTGGGTAAGGCGCAGGGGGCTTAGGCAAGGTGCAGCAGGAGATCAGCAGTCAGTATTATCCGCAACGGTCAGATGCCAGCATGAGGCGGGCCAGCAACCCAATGTCAGACAGAGGTATTCTGACGACAACGGGCGATGAGTCGACGGCTATCGAGCTGGCGGTCGTGCCACTGCCACCATCGGGTGGAGTCGCTCTCTGACAGCTTGCAGCAGCCACATCTGGACGATTGAAAGTAAGTTTGGACAGGACTGAGATCATCACTGCCAACCAAGTTACAGACTGACCTCCCTCAGGTCCTCCATCTCTATGCGCACCACCCAACGTATCCGGTTGCCTGAAAGTGGCTCGAAACAAGATGAGGGGGCTCCGAATTCGACTGCCTGTCCAGGGTGGGGATCCGCCCTGGTAATCAACCACAATGGCCGTTTCGACGCTGTCGCTCCTCCTCGACATGGAAAATTCCGGTGCCCCTCGACTGCAAATTCCCATCCAGAGTCGAAACAAGATGAGATGAAGAAGAGAGAAACTCCGAATAGAGTGAGGGATAGGGCCCGCTTTGTCCGAGCTTGTGGGGAACGGGTCGGGTATCATCAGCACATGGCCGTTACTTCCAGGCCAGGACCCAGGGCTAGAGCCAGGAACCGAACACTCCAACGACGTGGACGCCAGAACGCAGAGACTGCTCGAGGTCGCAGTATGTCGCGTTGAGACGAAAGGCTAGACTTGTTCGGGAACATGAAATTTGGGAGTCTACTGGTCCAGGGTGCGGCGTGGAAATTCGCTTAGTAGGCCAGTTGATTGGCGACGTTACGGATTGCCCATTGGAGAGAGACGCGAGCAAAAGCTGCAGTACTTGTCGCACGGCGGCCGCAGAGCCCCCATGAAGGTCCCATCGAAAACGGGTCTCCTTTATTGCTCCATCCAGAGACCGAGAGACCTCTACGGATACACTACGGAGTACGGTCTCTCCCTCAAGCCAGTCAGTCGGGTCGACACGCCGATTATCCCGGGCCTGTCTGCGGTCTTGTGGCCGGAGGGCGTGGGGCACATTCACTGACGGCTCCGTAGGCCACGGAATATGTCTCCTCTCTCCTGTGCAAAGAGCAGGGGGCGGAGGAGACATCAAAGCAAGGTACACATCAAGATCATGGATTCATGGATGGCAACCCCAATCCGTCCAATGAACGGCCCGAACGTCACGAAACACCTCTCCCATCGACCGTCAGTCACCCGAGCCAGCTACTTGGTGTATCCAAGCATTTCAATGGCAAGCCAATCTCTCAAGCCAATCACGTTCCGAGGGGCGTGGCGGGAGAGAAGTATGGCTGCCGTTGCCTCCTTCGAGATTTCCTCCCATGCTGGTTAGACTTATACGGAGCCAACATCGCACCCCGGCAACTTACTGTGGACCCCACTATCCAACACGTCGCATAGACCACCAAGAGGGGGTGACAAGAATCCATCGCCCTGGTTCGTGGGCAGAAGGGGTGTCTACTACTGAGCAAGGAATGGAGAGATCATGTCATCCGAGATGATGCCCAGCACCGACGCGGGAAGCAAAATCGACGACATCGGACGGCCCGCAACCACATTTCCACGGCCGGGAGGCCCAACTGCTGCCTGCACATGTCTCCCCCGTTGCTCGAATGGAGGTCAATCCATCAGATGGCGGGTTTGACGGAATGTACCTTCAGGCTCCAGAATTCTATCGAGCGCGTGCAACTCCTTGAGCAAACACCATTCGGGGCTGCCTGGAGTCTCACATCTCCGTAACACACGCTCCGAGATGAGCCTAACCTTGATCCGCGGCTAACAAACCAATCTTCTGTTACTTGGCCTGGTGGGGTACGGGCGGCCGCTCCTGGTGCCGCTCGGTATCTGATCGACGAGTATCCAGATCTAACGCTCCTTGATTGCAGTGACATGCAATTTCGGCCCCCATCCAAAGTCAATTCACAGTCACACGTCAAGTTGCTAAAGGCCTCAGTCGTATCCGACAAAATGGCTCGACTGCCGATCATACGAGCAGTGGCCAGTCCAAAAGAATCTGAAAAGAAAACATTGAGGGTGCAGTGATGACAACCCCTGTCGTCATTCGGTGAGAGGTGAAGCCTCAAGGTGACGAGTATGGCGCATGACTGACTGCATCCTCAAATGGCTGCCACACTGCTTGCGAATAGATCGAATTGCATTTGGCACCGATCATTTTCACGGAAGATCTGAACTAATGCCGTAGGTCCACGGAGAACCCAAGCCGATCCTTCGTAGATGATCTGGATTCGCGAGAGGACTTTGGGATCAAGTCAAAGTTCAGCCCTATGCTGATGCAAGCCGACAAGAGCATGTGGATACGACGTCTCAAAGTTCTTTTGATTCGGCCTAGGTTCAATGCCCGGATCGAGGTGTGATGCTGAATGCACTCAATTCCACGCTGCAGAGCTATCGATCTTGGACCTATCGAGTCCTCGGGCATGTGGCCTACACGATGTCGCATTGAGGCCATTCAGAACCTCAAGGCTCAACTTTCGCAGTTCATTCGCAATTGAGCGAATCACAGTTGTCAGCAAGCATATCCTGGCAGCTATGCTTACTGGTGACTCCCCCCGGTTACCGCAAGGCACATGATCTGGCACGATGGGACTTTGGTTCAGTTGTAACAACTCCAAAGTTGACGGCTTGCTAAACAACGGGCACATCCAGAAGTTTTCATCGTCCGTCTTCTTCGCAACTTCGCCACACGTATCCGGCCCAGAATGGTTTTGTTTTCCAAATGAAAGAGTCAGTAACTGCAAAAGTCCTTCCTGGGAAGTGGCATAGGTCTGGTTGAGAAACGGGTCCCGTCAGGCAGTCTTCCTGCTGTGCCCGGGACGTCCCCGTTGCCTGCCTTGAGTTGACCGGGGGGTGTGGGCTGAACCCAAGAACAACGACACCAACTGACGGCTCTGCCTAGCTTAGGGCCAAGTTTTCCAAAGTCATTAGAGATGCTATGAAAGCTCCAGTGTATCGTTTTTTTGTACACCTCTTTGAAGCTTTGCCGCGCAGGGCTGGTTCTTCAACTTTCCAAAGTCCCTCCGCCTTTTACCTGGCGTTGTCTTTCACGACCGGCGGTGGGAAGAACTTCTCCCTCTACCTATCCATTCTCAAAGATATAAACCTCGTGCAAGACCGCCTTCAGAATGAGCCAGCAAGACCAGCAAGCCTCTCGAAACGCATTGAGTTACTCCTCAACTCACCAAGCATCGCCCACTCAAGCATCGTATACAGATCAAGACACAAGCGAGCTTCTACGCAAGCTCCAAGAAACCACAGTACGTCTAAGCTAGAGTTTTGACTGGAGGTGTTGACTAACATAGAGGGGCTGATTAGATTGCGGCTTTGAGGACATCGAACAATACGATGGACTCCCACGGCGGCGGCAGCTCGAAGGGCACCTCACCCGATGACAAAGGCAAAGGCTACGATCAGTATGCCATCTTCGACGGCTTACTTCCTCGGATAGAGACCAGAGGACAGAGCAAAAACTCGTCGAAGAAGAATAGCGGCAAGAAGAAGGAAAGCAAGGGCTCAAGTCAACAGTACGTTTCCACGGCGGACAACCAACCAGCGGGTGCTGATGGACCGAGTCATAGTTGAAGAAGTCACGGCTCGACCATGAACGATCAATCGCTGTCGACCACGAGGGCGCTCGCTTTCACCACAGCGTATCTCTTTCGCAATTCGATGTCGATGCCAGCTCTGAGTTGATTCGGAGGGCCCTTCGGGTTGTATGTGGGGTTAGTGAGATTTCCATTAACGATGGCGTAACATGACGTCGGAAGACGGTTGGGTTTAGGCATAGGGTTTCTGTTTGGACAACGCATTTATTGGATTTCATTTATTTCAGGCTTTCTGTCAACATGTCTCATATCGATATAATACTTCATTGCTATCTACGAACCTGCACTGCGCGTCATTCATGTTATTCATAAAGACAGACAAGTAGTCGTATTGTCTTTCACCCTCTTCGCAACGAGTGGACTGTGTCATAGCTTCCGCGTTGAGAGCGGCAGGCAGCGGCCGCCCAAGAACATGGGTGGGATGGAGGGGCATGCACCGCGGCATTCGAGCGGTCACGGCGCTAAAGGCCAGGTCCCGTGTGCCTGCAGGCTGCCAGTGCTCTCGGTGAATGCCAAAGCAGCTCGGTGAGTCGAGCATCGGAGTACTTTTGAGGTGTCATCTTCAACCTTGACTCCGAACTATGTCGGCTCTAATGATCACAGTCACTGTGTCACAGCATTTTGAGCAAGCTGAAGCCTGACGTGCCTGTCAACCAACCCCTCTTGTTGCCTCCGAATACGGGGTACCCTTGCTACGCCGTCCTTGGCTTCTTACAGCTTCATGTCTAGAACCTGAAAACAGATGCAGCTTGCAAACACAGGTTTACAACAAGTCAACAGGTCAGTTAGCGGTTCGCAGAGTTTTCCTCCCTTTAGGCGCAATAAAGCCCCCCCGTCGAAAGATGCGAAGCGAACATGGGGTTCCACAACGCCTATGGGCCATGACCCTGAACCCCACGAGTTGAGTGTGATCGCTTGACCTCGAATGACCATCCGCGAACGGAATAGCGCAGAGTCGGCCGCCGGGTGGATCTTGAGGAGAATCGGATAAGCGACGCAAGATCAACCACTTGTCGCAACTTTGATTTTCTTCAAACTTCCTTGCTAAGAGAAGCGAGCCGAGATGACAAGCAGCTACTCCCCAGGGAGACTCCCGACCGCAAGTTTGGGAAGTTGTCGGGGCCACTAGTGTCAGGTCAGGCTACTGAGCCAGGGAGCGTCATTCGGCGGGCGGCCGCCCGGCCGCCCGGGGGTGTTCCGGAGTTGTCCGGACGAGCAGAGACATCGTCCGGACACAAGTCACAAGCAGCAGCTGATTTCTGAAAAGAGTACCTGCCTTTGAGGGAGAGAGGAATCCACAACCTGCTCATTCCGAAGCTGCTTCTCTGGTTGGCCAATCACCTTGATTTCGTATCCATCTAACCCGACAACGTGCTTACTATTACTCAACCGGCAGCGGCAGATACGGATACGTAATCACGGGAGGCGGCTAAGCGGCGGTGCTGGAGATGCGGTAACGCGGCGAAGCCACACCAAGTGACTTACACTTGCGTATTCTCTCTCTGCCATGGCCCATGGTGCACATGCGCGGGCGGGCGCGGCGTCCGCCTCTCACGAGCATCACTCTGGGTCCCTGAATTGGTCACCAGGCTTAGCGTCATCTCCATCAAACCACAGATCATTGAACACCTCGTCCCCCCCTCTTCCCCCCGGCACTCAAGAACCCTAGTCTACCGTCATCGTGGGAGCCCGGCGGGCGGGCGGGCGCGTAGGGCAGGGGCGCGCCACGAACCGTGGGCTTATGGAGACTAGGACTACGGGACACAAGCATTCGACAGAGTTACTTTTATGGTAAGCGATTCGAGAGAGAGAGTGGAAAAGAGACTAGTTCGTTACGAAGTAGTGGGTGTGCCTCGTGCCTCATGCCAACGCTGTAGAGTTTGACAAATACTCAGCCCTGGTTGACGTGTGTACCTACCTAGACTGAGGCCAGCCCTGTTGCTCTGCAGTGGGTGTGTATTTGTGTATGTGCTGTTCGTTATCCCGCATCACTCCAATTCCTTGCGTGGTCCGGTATCCCGGGAACCTATCCTGGGACAGTGGAAAGGTAAAGAGGGGGGGGGATATACCGCTGCGTAGGATTCTTTGCGTCAAGATTGCTATCTAACCTCCCCCCCTATTCCTAATCGGGACCTTGAAGCACGTGGGACTTTGGTTTTCCTATCATCTGGTAACGTTTCTCTGGATTTCCCAGCAGCGCGAGGATTCGACTCCTTCCAAAGGGAGATGCGTTCGGTCTGGCGAATAAGGATAGTGAAAAGTGCCGCGGGACCAACGCAGTTTTCGTATGGCTCTAACCCTTTCTTGCTTGCGCGGCTGTTCACCAATGCAGTCGGTCAGATCGAGGGGCCATTTTTGGGAGACTCGATATGGCCGTATCGTATGGTGCTAACTAATTAAGCTGGACTGAAGGCGGGTTTCTCGGGGCCGAACGGACTTGACGATAAGATGACCCGACTCTGTCATTACAGCAAGGCAACGCAAAGGTACGGCATGGAAGAAGATTGACGTATTTCGTGGTGTTCAACCCCGTACACCTATCCTATGCAAGCTAGGTTGCAATTGTTCGTCTTTGGTCAGATCGATGAACCATCCAACACACCCCAGGATACCGGATGCTTTCGATCAAGAACAGGCCTGTACGTACGAATACATGTGAAGAATGTACCCAAGCGTGCACGCCCTTGAAGAGAAAGCAATCCGAATATAGTGTACACGAGGCCAGGAACCCCCCTTGTCTCATCGTATCGACTTTACCGCTCTCGTTGGAGAATCCCCCCAGGGCTGCAGCGGGACCCTCAAACATATCCCCTCCCCTATATGATCATTCTATTCCAACCACGCACTCATCGAGTCCGAAGGGAGTCCGAATGCCCCGCTCCAGGCGGGGCCGCCAGCGGGAAGAAGGGTGACGTTCGTTCGTCAGTCCATGCGGCCGGGTTCACGGCGACGTCTCCTCGGGAGATGGGGTACGGGTAGCAGTGTTACATGGGGCGCGACATTGACCGGGTCCTTCTAATCGTGGACTACTGGGATCTCGTCTAGACGACGGGTGCAGAAAGCGTTGGCAGAGCCCACACTTACTTTCTGTCTCTCTCTTGCGTACTATTACCCAGGCTGCCAGATAAACTCGGCTCGGGAGGAAGGGTGAGGGAGGTTAATCCTCATTACCCACGGACACGGACACGGGGGAGAGGAAGAGATCCCCTTCCTTGGCTATGGATCCTTTTCTTCAGATTGTTTACTGAAATAGTACTGAGGTCTAGAAAGATGTGGGACTGAGCCACCGAACTAAGGTTGATGGGAAGGACTTTGAGTCGTCTAGCTCGGTGCCATGAGGCTATTCAGACGTCAACGAGGGGTAATGTATCGTCCCACGACCATCATTCTGATCAGCAAAAGCCAAGAACACTCTGCTTATGCACCTGCCTAACCTGCGGCGGGTATGTTTGGAGGCTTAGGCTTCTGAGTGTTCCTTTTTTTGTTTTTCTTTTCTGTAGCTTGTGCAGCTTTGTCTGCGGGAATGACGCCGCTCCCCTTCCACGTCCACCCCGCGCGCGTGCAACGAGGAGAAAGGGACTTTGGTAATTTTTTCTCTCCGGCCTGAGCTTGTTTCTTCTCTCCATGGCCCCACGCGTCGCATATTTGCCCCTTTTCGGATGCTGCGTTTAGGCCCCCCCAACCAGTGCACAGCATCTTTGGGTGGTGGTGGTGTTTCGTAGGGCTAGGTACATGTACGGAAGGAGGTTGGCTGGTGATCAGGCAACAAGACATGCCTTTTTCGAGAACCGGCCAAGCTTCTTTGTGTCTGACTGCAGGATGTGGGATTTAGACAAGCACGTCCGCGGCAAAGCAATGATTGACAGCCAAGACTCGACGTTAAACGGCCGCCTAGGTATCGTCTCCTTGCTCTACCGAGGGGCTGGGCCCACGGATGTTCCCATTGTTGCGTAATCTACGAATTGCCGGGTATCGCGGACTTTGCGGCGGACTAATACCGTGGAGTTAGGAGGAGAGTTCACCGATGAACCCGGATATTCCATGTTTAGCACGCTCGCGGAGACTTTGCGGAGAGTCGTGTTTCGGTCTATCTTTGTTATTTCTGTCTAGCCTCAATACCAACGACATATCTCGTGCTTGTGTATTGTCCCGGTGGCCGTCGGGATAGAGTCAACGGTGAGGGTGTGTTCACCGAGTGGAGGTGGATGTTGTCAATCCAGGGAGGTCGGTGGTTCGAGATTCCCGTCTAGAGATGGACATAGTCCACTTGTCGACTTGGCTCGATCATGGTTCCTCCGCACCAGTTCCTCCAGGCTTGACCACATACCTCAGAATCCAAGTGGCTTGAGGGATCCAGGCAACATCAAATCGTCCGGCTGTGAGGCCCGCGATGCGGCCCACCCCTTCCTTTGCTATCTTTCCCAATCCGCGGAGGAGGCTCCGTGGAGGGGACCTTTGCTTCCGTGGCGTTTGAGCTTATTCTTTTTCACACAGTCATTGGGTGTGTCTTAACGCCATCATCGTCTGTGTCTCACCATCCCACCCCTCTCGCCTGTCTTTCCCCGCTCACGCGCGTGTGCGGGTATCACGCGGTTGGCGTTTAATGGGTTTTGAGTGGCGGTTGGTGTGTCCCTTGACGATGAGGATCGACTATGGATAGCAGGCAGCCTTCCAGAATCGGCTGGCGTGTCTGTGGGTGCGTTGCCAACGTTGTCGAGTAAAGGGTTTTTGGAACTTTGGTTTTCTGTGGCCCCTGAGGCTTCTCTCAGGGTATCGTTCTCGCCGCCTCATCTCTATTGACAAGGCTTCGCGCCTAGCTTCTTGGCTGGGAACCGCTTGTGTGGAAGAATTCGTGTAAGTAAAGCACAGTTCTAGAATAGAATCGGGGCAGCGGCTGAATTTCGCCCCTGAAGCCTTGAGGGCCTGGTCATATGGAATGACTATCGAGGCAGCGATATATTCGGTCCTGCGTTGAACCCCTTAGCGTCTACCGTGGGTCTCAAACTTGCCTCTGGGACATTATCCTGTTGCCTTGAAACGATCTACAAGTCTCAGCAGGGTTACCTCTGGGCGCTGTGGACCATCACGTCTTGTCTCGGCGTTAGTTGAGGTCCGCTTCGCTTCGCTGGGCAGATGTTGCCGCCTATGAGGGGGTGACGGGCATGTTTGTGAGGCCTCGGAGAGGGGTGATGAAGAGACCAGATACTTCAATGGAATGTTCTGGTGCAACACCTAGACTAGCTTGGGGCTTTGGTGAAGACGTTGGATCTGTCTCGATTAGAATGGTAGGATGGATCGTGATAGGGCTTGTTTGTCGGGAGGCTTGTTGGTCATGCGTAACGGACTCTCACAGTGAGATTTGGATTCATCTTCCAACATAGTTGCTCAAATTCTACTTCAATCCTAGTCCATCTACATTGAACTTTCGCTCAAGGTGAGCAGACCCTTGCTTGCCCTTTCATTGCCATCTCAATCGGATGTCGTATCCCAGTACTATCACGATAGGTATTTAAAGGACTCCAAAGCCGCAATACCTAGCTTCGTCTCCATAATCAAGCCTGATGCATTCTTGGACAAGTGAAATTGGTAGTTGGCAACGATTAGTGGTGTCACATTGGAGCCCGATTAACCTTGATAAACGTCTATCTATGGATTGGAGATGCTATTTTCCAACTAGATTCGTTCATTGTCTATCGACTCGTTGATATTGGCTAACGAATACGTGAGAGCAATCGTTGGACTTGGTTTAGAGAGAGTTCACGAGTGAATATACACTATACTAGATCACTTTCACTTTTTATTAGTCCGCTTACTCGTTTTGTTAGGCAACGAATATGCGAGTGAGAAGAACCGCTAGTCAACGTTGAACGGGAACTCAAGATAGAAACAAGGGCGCAGTACTGCTATCTTGATCAAATGTTCTGGATGAAAAGCTCGCGAGCACTTTGTCCTTAGTCGCATTATCTAGGGGAGCCAAAGCCGAACGTCGGAAGCAAGCCTGTCATTCAGCATGGCGGCATTGACTAAATCAAAGGAGAGTCCTGAAGGGGTACTTCATTACACGCCCCGGACACACGCAAGGCCGCTCAGGTGACATCGAATTCACAGATCAACACCCTGTTCTGGAAGGCAACATAGTCGAAACTTTCAGCCTCATCTTCCATTCCTCTACTAAGGTAGACATGGTGCTCAGTACAAACAGCTATGGCTCTTTCTCAACGCGATAGGAAACGCTTATTGCCATCGATGTTTCTCCAACCAGAATGTCGAACTCATCTCCTCTCCAAAAAGGTTCAATGAACGTTGGCTATCCCAGTTCAAGGTTCTTTCCAAGGCTGAGGGGATCTCAAGGTTCAGGCGATCGTGGCCATTGATCAATACTTTGGGAAAATTTTCCCTTCTTGTAATCGTGCTTGGCGACACAGCTGGCCTTTGGCTACGGGAGGCAAGCAGCCTCAGGTGCCTCTGCTTTGGTACCTCATGGAGGACGGTTCCCGGTCTTGTCGACCGTTCTCCGGGTCTACGATATCCATCGTCAAGTCCACCTTAGTAAGTTCGGTATCAGAGCCCGAGGTATGGATCCAAAACAATGGCGTAGAGGTATCAGTGCCAACATGCAGTCCATTGCCTAGGTAGTCGACATCCAGGGTCAAAGTCAGGAGAGGAGAAACTGGAGATATGGGAAATACCAAAAAGACTTTTAGTTCTATTCCATTACTGTCAAATATCTTATTTTGAGAAGACTCGTGCTGTCGACGCCATCTCGTTTTGAATCGTCTCCGCCCTTCCCTAGACCAAAGACGCGTGTTATTTTAATCGCATGCCTGGTTCGCGTCTCCCATACATCTGTCGTAGACCGAAACGCCAGCCACCTCTTCCCGGGCATAGTATACAGACCCCATCCTCCAGGGCTCTCTCCATTCAAACGCGTAACACCTCAATACACCTAGTTGGCAAAGCGCTTCGCTCTCGCTTCCTGTCTCGCCTTCTCGGCAGGGTCAATGGCAGCGCTGCGCCTGGTGTCGCGTTCGCCGCCGCCCTCGCGACCACCACCACCTTGGCGGCGGCCTCCAGGGCGTCCGCCATCTCTGTTGTTCCTACCGCCGCGACCGCGGGGTCCACGGCCGTCGGTGCTCTGTCGCTTAGCATCGCGTCCGGCCTGCTCGTCGGAACGCTCAGGACGGCCGCGCTTGGGACGTCTCTCGGGAAGCGCAGAGTCGAGACCGGCAACACTACCGACCTCGACGCCGAACTTCTTTGCGCGCTCAGCCTTCTTCTTGGCCTCCTCATCCTCGTCGATGCCGAATCGCTTGGCGCGGTCAGCGCGCTTCTTGGCTTCCGCTGCGGCGTCGGTCGCATCCAGGTTGAGAGCAAAGTCCTCCTTTGGCGCGGCGTCGGCAGCCTCTGCAGTCTCCTCTGTCTTCTTCTCCTCTTCCGCGGTTGTCTCCGCAGCAGGCGCAGTCGCGGCTTCAGTGGCGGGGGCGGCAGGCTCAGCTACAGCAGGAGCAGCGGCAGGCTTGGGTTCCTCAGCAGCCGGGGCAGCTTCAGCGGCGGGCTTGGGGGCTTCGGCGGCCTTGGTTGGCACGGTAGGCTCGTCGTCACTATAATCGATTTCATCCTCCTCGGCGGCGGCTGGGTATTGTTAGGTCGCGATCGAAGAAAGCGCATGTTCGAAATCGATTGACGTACCGGGCGCGGATTGCGCATCGTTCTCCTTGAGGCGATTGACCAGGTCGAGCTTGTTGCCTGTTGCGGGAAGGCTTCTCTCCTGAAGAAGCTTCTTGAGCTCGGGAACCTTCAACGAGCTGTAGTCGGTAGCCATGCTTGCGACAGTCAGGTGGCAAGTCGAGATGGGAGAGGTTTAGTAGATGCGATGCCGGGACTTTGATGCGGCGGCAACGATGGTGAACAGGATTGCGCAACTTGGGCGAACAAAAAATTGATGATGGAATTGGGGTGGAACTTGGAAGGCGGAGAGAAGGGGCGGTCGTTGATGGATCGCCGGGGGTTATGACGATTTTTGAGGCGCGTCGTTGCTGCTTTGGTTCACAGGACGACAGCTTTGGGAAGGTAAGGCGAGTCAAAGGTAGGCAGGTACCTCCCAGGTTTAGCAGGAAAGGGGACCTTCCCAGTTGCTTAAGCTGCGGCGCATCTGCTGGTTGCTGGTAGAGGTACGTACTCGACTACCAAGCTCGTGCAGCTAGGTACTTACTGCGTAGGGGAAGGTGTCGCCGCGGTGCCTTCCATTCCCATTAAGCGAGGATGGAAGAGCACGGGCCACTGTTCCTGCATTGGTCCATGTTGAAGGTGTCCCTGCCCTCCAGGAATGAGTGTTCGTTGTTGTTGCTAACGATATGCGAGGCGTCTAAAATTGAGTTGAAGAACGCATCGTCGGATCTGAGAGTTTGGAGATGAGGCAGATTCAAGTTTCCAAAAATAGGCTGCAATAGAAAGACAGCGACAAAGAGACGTTCAACGGCGTTTCTTCTCTGCTCTTGTCTCATCGAGCCCATTTCTTCTTCCCATGTACTCGGCTTTGTCAGGGAGTGAGGTGACATTTTGCCGCAAATCTGAAGATGCATGTTTTCAGTACCACGACAAAGGGAATGAGTCGACTCTTCGTCTCTTGAAGAATTTCCGTGGGATTTACGTTCCATAAATTGATGAGACGAGCAGCCACAACGTACCACCTAAAAAGTGAGATTTGTATGAGGCGGGAGACTTACAGACAGGGTTGGCATGGCACCTCATGTGAGGTTCTGAGTAGCACATCCGCGGCAACTCAGCTCTTGCCACCATACCAGACTCATGTGACTGCAGCTGATAGGGTGCCCAATATGAAAGGGAAGAAAATGAGAATACCATGGTGATTGAGGTTTTCGATATCAATAGCGTTGTCTTGCGTCGTTTGAGCATAGCTTTTCGTCGTGACTGACTCAAGCTTCACGTCGTTGATGACCAAGAGCCCAACTAGTCTTCGGCTCTATGAACTGGTTCGTCAATGCTTCTGTCATCCCGAGATAGCAAGGCTTGATGATTATCATTTCGTTTCGTCCGTCCTCGAAGACGAGAGAAACCGGGAGGATGGCTGCTTAACAAACTCAATTCGACCATTATTGACGCGCGGCCATCATGTATTGAGTGTGGCGATATAAAGTGGGATAAGTAAGAGACTCTGGCAGATCTGCGTGCTGCGGGTGTCCGTCTCTTGTCTTCAGACCATGCCCTCTCGAGCTTACGTACTTCAGGTGGTGACAGAGATGGAATGGGGACGGGAGGCTCCACCGGCATGACGTTGACATGGAAGAAAGCTGTTGCTGAGCGGCTCTAAGCCGTGACTTCAATAGTCAAAGTGAACGACGCTCGCAAGAATTACATGCTGCTGTTGCGTCGCACCACGGCCCGTGTGATGTGACGCGCAGCTTCATGCAACGTAAATGGCACTGGCAGATGGTAGACGATGTCTCGCAGTGTGACAGTCTGATGGACATGGACGCGTCAATAATGGTCGACGCCACGTGCGGCTGCTAACAGCTCTTCCATCCTGCTCCTGGTCGATGGCGTCGCCGCGTCCCTCACGAAGTCTTCGCCTAACCGATTGGAGCGTTGGTGAAGTTGAAAAGGAGTTTCGGGGGCGGCCTGGCCTTGTCAGGGGGAAAGCCAATGAAACCTTGATAACCTAATCGTGAGTACGTACCCCGGTAAGCCCACCGATGGGCAGCGATGATTGATCAGTGATAACTGTCAGACTGGCTGAGGGAGGTGGTGACCGGGCGCAATCACAGGGCGCTCTCAGCAATTTAGCAGATGGCCAAATGCCAAAAAGTGCACCGCTACCCCGGATTCTGAGGTGGCAGTTGGCTCCACCTAAATGGGGCCTTTATCGACCGAGTCTCGGTTGATTGCCTCGTGCCTTTTCTTGCTCCTTTTCTCAACCCCCTGTCGTCTGCTGAGCTGTCTCTCGATTTACGAACCGACATCAAGCTCTTTCGCGCCCATCGTGTCTATTCGTACCTCTCTCAATCTTTGTTCCACCTTAGCCGACCTACGGGCCATGATATGGCCTGGGTATTAGCTTGAATTCAGGCTCGCTCGAGCCGATTACTTCGTGTTCGTGTTCCCTCAGCCCACGCGCTGCGCTGCGCTGCTGCTACCTTCGATCGATCACGACGACGCCGGCCTTCACATCGCCACGACCGGCCTCCCTCCGATTTGCGACAATCGTAAAAGTCGCCCAACATGACGCGCCGCATAGTGAGTACTGTTGCTACGCTTAGCGACCAGAAAGGGACCATACTAATGATGCCTTTGCTCAGGTACGGACGATAATCCAGCTCACCGCGGTGACGCTTGTGACGTTCCTCGCCGTCTTCTTCCTCGACCGAAACTTCCGAGTTCTACCAAAGTCGATGCACCACTACATGCCACAGCACCACCACGGCCTGATTGTCACGGATATCACAGTAACGAAATGCTCAAGCATAAACGTCTTCACATCCTGCAACCTCGACACCAACAAATGGCACCGAATCGAAAAGGACCTGTACCTGGGCAAGTCATGGACCACCAGCGCATACGTACACGTCGCACGAAAGAAGGAGGAGGAGCTGCTACCAGAGGATAAGGTAGTCATGGACGTTTCCGTCGGCCGACTCGACCCCACGACTTCTAAGAAGGGAGAGGAGGACGAGAGGTGGGAGAGCCGACCATACGGGTTGTGGGTGAAGCGGTCTTCCAACCAGAAGGACAGCGACTCCAAGAAGGCCGTTACAGGCATCGACGTGCTCTTTGGCGACGACGCGGTTGAGGCTCGCGATGGCTGGCAGATCACCGGAACGCCCTTGCTGCTCCCTCTCAACGAAGAAGTCCCCGTCACCCACATCACTCTCCGGAGAGGAAGCCAGAAGGAGCCTCACAAACCACAGCCGCGAATCCCCGAGAACGGCAGGTTCAAAATCATGCAATTGGCCGATCTCCACCTCAGCACCGGCGTTGGCAAGTGTCGCGACGCCATGCCCGAGGGCTACAACGGCGGCTTGTGCGAGGCGGATCCCAGAACACTGGATTTCGTCCAAAAGATCCTCACCGAGGAGAAACCCCATTTAGTCGTGCTTAGTGGAGATCAGGTCAACGGTGAAACTGCTCCTGATGCGCAGTCGGTGAGTAGCTTTGTCTCTGTCGGGCTGGGCGGAAACTGACTCTACTAGGCAATCTTCAAAATCGCTCAAATCCTCATCAAGATGAAGATCCCCTACGTCTCGATCTTTGGAAACCACGATGATGAGGGATCGCTTCCTCGCGCTGCTCAGATGCAAATTCTCGAATCGCTGCCATATTCTTTGGCAAAGGCCGGACCCGAGGAAATCGATGGTGTTGGCAACTACTACGTCGAGGTCCTTGCTAGAGGCAAGTCGGACCATTCGGCACTCACCCTCTACATGCTCGATTCCCATGCGTACTCTCCCGATGAGAAGAAGTACCATGGATACGACTGGATCAAGCAGAACCAGATTGAGTGGTTCAAGAAGACTTCTACCAATCTGAAGAAGGCACACAAGGAGTACAGCAAGGTTCACATGGACCTGGCCTTCATTCACATCCCTTTGCCCGAGTACAGGGATGCCGATCTCGCCATCAAAGGCGAATGGAAAGAGGGTGTTACAGCACCCAACTTCAACTCTGGCTTCCGTGACGCCCTTGTCGAGCAGGGTGTCGTGATGGTCAGCTGTGGACAGTGAGTTCCATCATCAACCCGTCATAGAGAACCACAACCTAACCTGATACAGTGACCATGTCAACGATTACTGCTCCCTCTCGCTAGACAGCCAGCAGAAGCCAGCCCTCTGGATGTGCTACGCCGGCGGAGTCGGCTTTGGCGGCTATGCTGGATACGGAGGATACCACCGCCGCATACGTGTATTCGAGGTCGATACCAACGAAGCTCGGATCACAACGTGGAAGCGTGTTGAGTGGGGCGACACCAGCAAACGGATCGACGAGCAAATCATTGTTGAAGCGGGCGGGCCGATAGGCATCAGAGAAAAGAAGGCATGACAGAACTTTTTCGACAGTCTATTCGAAACAAAGAAGGAAAGAAGAAGAAGTAAGGAAAAGGAACAAAAAAATTGAAGTGCTGGAAAAAATTTGGAGTTTCGGGTCAGGTTAACTTACAACCGGTGTTTAGGTTCTGGCTCATCAACATGAAAGTCTTTTTTAGTGAGAAAAAGACTTTCAAAGGGGAAATTCATAGCATGTATTATTTTGACTTGTCAAACTGTCTGAAGCATCTCTTGGTAAGGCATCAGATTGAAGGCTAAAGTGTGGAAGGGATGGGTGGGCGTCGGGATGGGAATGTGTACATGTATGTATCTCTGTAGGAGACATGACGGCCAACTTTCCTCTTTTTTCACTGACCTGCGATCGTCGTTCTCTTTTGGGTGTGTTTATGAGTCTCTTCAATGTGGGTAGAAGCCGGGGAGACTGAGTTGCTCGGTCAAGACATGAACGGCTAGGCATGGGTAAGCATGGGTAGGTATGGATGTCTAGTTCTAGACTACCTCAGACGATGCGGGTGGTGGACCGCGGGGGCTCCCAGGAAGGGAGATGACTTTCTTCCTAACCCTAGGACTCAAGGCATGCTCAGACCGGCTCATATCCTACCTACCCAAGGTAGGTATATTAAACTTTAGGCAACCTCAGGAGGTGGGGTGTCGTCGGACATGCGCGGAGGTCTGAACTAGGCGTAAGGGGAGGAAGGACGTCAAGCGGGTGTGACAAAAGCCCCACTGATCTTGCGAGAATATACCGGAGCCTCTCACCACCAAGAGGGAGGTGCGAAGGTCACCTCACTGGCAGTCTTCATCTCTCACCGCAAGCGATGAGAGAGCCAATGGCTGGGTTGTCGTAAGGGGTACTGGTGGAATCCAAAGATTCTCGGCCCTTTGTAAACCACAATAGAACAGGATCCTCGTCAGAATATCCGACCAGCAGCTTCTATCGCCCTCGTGGTGTTGCATGTCGGAATAACATCCATTCCGTCAGGGATGGTAGTTTTGCTACCTTACACACCGCACAGTGTCGAATTTACTCTCCTCCTTTCTTGCCACCGATGTCGTCGGGTCGGGATTTCGAGCAGAGCTGGAAGTTTAATAAGCGCTGTGGCTTGGGGGTGTGTACCCACGACGTGCCACGCCATCACGCGCGCAAACCCAAGGTTTTGGTCTTGCAGTGGGACGAGGTGTGGGTGGGTAAGGTGAGATGAGGCTGAAGGTGTGTTTTTTCCACGCTTGAGGGATGCCACCGTCATGCTCTCCGGAAGCTTCGCACAGGGCATGTATTTTTGTTCTATTTGGAACTTGGTCTTGACATGTGTGAGATGACAATATCGTCGAGATAACTTGTCTAGATATACGACATTGCAGATGTATTGAGGAGACTGGAAAGAGGTGGGTGAGGGCTCTCCATGGATTGTGTCATCCGTCTTCTCATCCAGGTATATGTGTGACAAGGTTGGCCTGAGGGGTAGGTATAGTGGCATAGACCTCCATCAAGCTGCAAGGCAGAGGTGTGGTCGTCGGGCGTCCCACTCACACTTGCTCCGGCCGAAGCTGCCTCTCGGGTGCGGCACCCAGGGTCTGGACCCCGGTCCCGGGGAGACTTCATCGGGACGGCCTACGCCTTGATGCGAATGTTACTCTTAGATTTGCCCTTTTTTATGTTCTAATCTTCCTAATTATGGTAAAATTGATGAAGAGCGTCGGAACTTTGGACATTTGCATCGAGAGATTTCTTCAACTATCTGAGGATGGTCGTACCGAGGACATGGCCACTGGACATACATATCTCTTCGTCTCTTCCTCGGCTTTTTCGTGGCGTCCGCTTCAGCCTAACGTCCGTGGAGATTGTTTGATGCTCAGGGTTGGGATAACTCCTCGTCGGATATTCCCGCATCTTGGCCTCTGTTTCCTTGTACTTTGAAGGTCGGCTCAGCAAGGAGCCGGCGGCTGTTCATTAGAAGCAAAAGTCTCATATGTCACCTACTTGAACCCTTGAATGCCGAGAGTTTCAGGCCAATATCGCGAAAAGACTGCCTAATCATACCTTCGTTCCTCAGCACGCCGATTCCAAGTTGCTCGGGTGATTCGATATCGCACATCGGTTCTTTCCCTTGCCGCGCTCCCTAGCCATCAGGCATATCGAGGCTCTAAGTACCCTGTTATCGAGGAAATCCAAAAGTCGAACTTCAACTAGCAATTAGGCTACCGTGGGTGGTCTAGCCTGGCCCATCTTTGCTTCAGCTTGTGCCGTTAAGTTGGTGTCCGACGGGGAAGTAGGTTGGCGCTAGAATACGCTCTCAGCAACCTTCTGCACCTCTTTGGCCGGCCTGTTCGGTCTGATCAGGTTGCCGTGTTCGTTGATGTCTCGATTTTCACGCAGGCGATGAAGTTCCCAAGCTACTTACTGCTTCATAGATCGCGAGGTAAGAGAGGGCGGACTCTTCGAGTTAAGAAATCGAGTGCATTGTTTGAGAACGTCTCAGAGGGGGGTCTGTCGTGGGAATGGGGTGACTTACTCCTAGGCCGTCACTTTGTCTCCTGTCGGTAGAGCTTATTCGAACCTCAACTCGGAGATCGCCTTGTTGTTCAAAAGGCGAAGCAGGTTGGTCGCCCGTCTCCCCCCCGCACGCGCCCTCTAGGATACGCGGCAGGACTCCCGCCGTCGAAGGTCTTTACCAAATCGTTTCTCACCTCGCCATATCACATAGCAGTAACCGGTTGTCTTCGACGCCAAGGTACTTACCCGCATCTGCGGCGGTAGAAAGTATACTGCGTTTGACACCGGCGACAGACTCGGCGGCACTGTGTATGAGCCTCACTTCCACCAAGCGGAGCCATGAAAGTTCCAGGACCAAGGGGTGCTCTGCACAGTGCACGATCCCGATTTCTCAGGGCGAGATAAGATTTATGAGTCGAGAGGATTGAAGGCGTCGTCTCGTTCTAAATCGCGCGTCTGTAAGCCACAGAGTTGGGTCAGCATCGGGGGAGGGAGGAGAGTTTTGAAGAGCTTTACCTCGCATTTCCTCGAGCCTTAAAACGTTTTATGCCCGTCTGCCTCTACACCTCGACCTTTCTTCCCTCTCCATACTCATCTCCGTTATTCGCGGATGCATCGCTTGTTCGCGTGGATCGTCAATCTTTGCTTGGTTTTCTCCTTGGTGCTTTCGTCCTTGATAACCCTGTCAAGTACTTTGGTAAGCTTTGTCCGCCATACAACTATACCCCCCGGAAGAGCATCTCTGACCATATCTGCGTTAGCTTCGATAGCTAGAATAGCTCAACGCACAACTGTTTTTGCGCTTCGTTCTCCGTCGGTCGCCTAGTAAGCTTCTAAGCCTATGTCCTTACCTGTAATGTCCCTCATGAATATAGCTTTTGTACCAACATGAAATGTCTCCTGTCACTCTCCTCCCATAACTTAGTCTCCCTATTCGTACGTGAATAAACAACTGACCTAGAAAGACAGTGTGAAACACTCAAGACTATCATCATGAACGGCACCACCAAAGCTCCCAATGCTTCCCCGGCCCCCAACCAGTCGCAGTTGACGCCCGAGGCGATGCCGGGTCTGGCGCCGCCGCAGCAAGTCCCTGCCCATGATGGTGCAGGGCGGGAATTTCTCCAGGGGATGAACATTACCCTGCAGGGTCATCGCGAGTGCCTGGGTAGACAAATGCAGACCTGGAAAGGCTCGTACTCCCTTGATTCTCGATGGGGTGCTCTGCAACAGCTCGTTGCGAACGCACAGCCCCAGTTCCCAGGCCAGGGTGCTAGCCATCAACAGCCCGAGACTCAGCTGAAGGCACAAATGAAGATTGCCGGAGCGCAGCTTGAAGAGAATAAGAAGAAGCGCAAACGTGATGGGCAGCGCCGGAAAGAGAGAAAGCTGGAACATCGGCAGAAAATGCAGCAGCAACAGCAGCAGCAGCAGCAGCAAGAAGAGCAACAGCAGCAACAGCAAGAGCAACAGCAGCAAGAAGAGCAACAGCTGCAACTACTGCAACAAGAACTGCTGCAATTCCAGCAGCTGCAACAACAACAACTTCAGGCCCAGCAGCTCCAGGCCCAGCAGCAGTCTCAACCACAGTCTCAGCTGCAGACCCAGCCCCAGGGTGCAGACTGGAGCGACGTGGATTGGCTCGTAAATTCCAGTCTTGGGACCGCCGCCATAGCACAAGAGCAGATCGACCTATTGTTCGACGAAATGGATGGGCTCGACAACACGCAGCAAGAGCAAGTCCAGGCCTTCGACCAGATGATGATGTCGAGCATTCCTTTTCCCAACGTTGACGCTCCAGAGCCATGGGTTCCTCCACCGTCTACAACCTTTGACGATGTGTTTCGACAACAAGATGAGGAAGCGGGCGTTGAACTCGGCCCTTATTCTTCCATGTTGTTTGGTCCGGGGCATTCGATGAGCGGTTCTGGCTAAATGCAGTGTGGAAAGCAAGGTTCATGCACCATAGCTTGCCCTTCAGCGTCTCTGGCGTTGCGTCCAGTAAGTGATTTCGAGTTCTGTGGCCTGGATGGTTTTCTTTCTTTCATTTAATGATGTTGCGTCTGCTACCTTGTGGTATGAGCCGCTAAGAAGGAGCAAAGTCTTGTATATTAGTAGGAGGATATCTTCGTCTTTATCTACCAGTTGGACCTAAAAAGGTCAATGGCGATGTGAACCTTTGACACGGGAATGCCTGAAATTGTCGCCCATTTTGAGAAGCTAGCCATATATTGGGTCTCGTAATGGCCAATTTCGCAGATTTATCCGCAAAGGTTGTTCCCACGGCGACTGAGGTTCTCCAATCTGTGAGCTTCTCTTGGTTTCGAAAACCATACATGTCCCGTGGCTGAGCATTATCGACGGGATTCATAGCACCACGGAGCTTGGCTGCCCGGGTCCCCATCGGCCGGCTTTGCTCATGGTAGGGCGCAGACAGACAGATATCCTGGGATTGAGCGAACCCTGTGGGCTGAGGCGCGGAGGAGATGCTTGATCAATATTGCTGGGCCATGTTGATGAATGAAATGTGCCACGGTCTGTCTTTTCGGTACCTTGGAGGAAGTCGGCGTGCTTAGTCATTCCGTGATTAGAGGTTGGACCTTTTGGGGAAGGACTTCAGAGTCGCAACTGCACCGGAGGCCCCACACTTCGGCACACCAACCGGGCGCGGGGAAAGTGACGACATGTGGGCTGCAGACAGTCCCTGCCGTGATTTCTAAGCAAAAGAAAAGTGAAAGCCCCGCGCCCTTTCCACTGCAATGGAGGGGTCACTCTGACGGAAGTAATCGTGCCACGGTACCACGGTATTCGCAGACGAGAGCTGCCAGGCAGTGGCCCAGCGTGTCAGCTTCCACGGGCGGACCGTAGGTGGGGCGCCCGCCTGGATTATTAAGATGATGGCAGCTTACTGCTTACATAGCTCTGGTCGGTCACATAAGGTAGTGAGGGGTTCATATAAATACGCCCAAGTGGCGTCGAGCTCAATGCCAGGTGGATTAGTATTCAATATTTAGACCCAAAACACAACTTTACTCTCTGCACATCGCGGCGACATCACGTAAAACCTCCGGCCAACACTTGCATCGTAAGCATATGACATCTCGGCTAGGACAATTGAGTAAACAAATCTTCAACATGGCTGCCAAGACCAAGACCGATATCCACTTGTACACCACCGGTACCCCTAACGGCATCAAGGTGTCCATCCTCCTCGAGGAGCTCGGCCTGGAGTACCAGGTCACCCCCATTGACATCTCAAAGAACACGCAAAAGGTTGGCATTTCAGAGACGTCCAGTTGTACTGTGGATTGAGGGTCTACTTTCAACCCCTTTAGGGGCCGTTATGCTAATGCACGAGTGCAGGAGCCCTGGTTCCTGGAGATCAACCCCAATGGACGTATCCCTGCCTTGACCGACAAGTTTGAGGATGGCAAGACCATCCGCCTGTTTGAGTCGGGAAGTATTTTGCAGTACCTCGTCGACCGCTACGACAAGGACCACAAGGTCTCTTATCCCTATGGCTCGCGCGAGTACTGGGAGGTGAACAACTGGGTATGGTCTACTTACACATAGCTACGAGTGCCGTGAAGCTGACGCAAGAGATGTAGCTGCACTGGCAGATGGGTGGCCTTGGTCCTATGCAGGGGTAAGTTGCCTGTCACTTCTGATGAGAGGACGACGAGCTAATGAGTATGCAGACAAGCCAACCACTTCAAGCGTGCGCCAACTCCTCAATTGCTTCCGTGTTCTCTTATTCATCCACTAACTCCCGCACAGGCTACGCACCCGAGAAGATCCAGTACGGCATTGACCGTTACACCAACGAGACCCGCCGTCTGTACCGCACCATGGACACGGCGCTCGCGGCGAACCCCAGCGGGTACCTCGTGGGTGACCGTGTGACTATTGCCGATATCTCCAGCTGGGGTTGGGTGGCGGCGAGCAAGTGGGCTGGCATCGACCTGGACGAGTTCCCCGCGCTCAAGGCGTGGCTGTTCAAGCTGGTGGAGAGGCCCGGCTTCGAGCAGGGCCGCCACGTGCCGTCCAAGCACACGGCGCTGGACCACTTCAAGATGACGGATGAGGAGCTCGACGAGAAGGCCAAGGGAGCTGCTGCGTGGATTCAGCAGGGGATGAAGGATGATGCTGCAAAGAAATGAGCGTGTTAGGTGCCTGGTGATGCTCAAGGGAACGAGTCTTGAAAAGTACCGATGAAAAAGAAATATAAAAGAAGAAAAGCATTGGATTTTCAACTATTAGCAGATTGTTTTCGTGGAAGAACATTACACAATTACGAGTCACGCCAAAGCCGCGACCCTTATGAGTCTGGAGACTGGTGGAACGTTCAAGCTCAAATGAGTCCAATCTGGTCGGTTAGCTCAGTTGGTTAGAGCGTGGTACTAATATTTCACCTGAAATATTGTGTAATGCCAAGGCCGGGAGTTCAAGCCTCCCACTGATCACATTTTTGACAAAATTGAAGTTTTGCTGCTGGTGCAAGTTAAAGATCATCAAGATATTGGTTTTGGGATGGTTTGCGAGATTCATTGGTTGGGGTTAACTTCCAGTTGCCCTTTTCTTTTTCTTTTCATTGTGCTTTGGAGACGAAGGTTCGACCGACCGTTGGCGCTAGTACTCTTCTCGGACCGTGTCAGTGGTATCGGACTTTGGCTACCTTATCACGTGCACCTATCCAGCTTCCCAATCGGGCCCGCCACGGTGGCGCCCAGAAATTCGGGCCAATTGGCTCCCGCCCCTTAGCTGAAGGACAGAAGGCGCCAGCCAGGCTGAAAGATTCCTGTTCAGTCAGGGCCCTCCCATATTATTGCAACGGTTCCATATAAAAGTTCCCTTCCCCCAACCATCGAAATCAATAATCACCATCACGCCACGCTATTCCCTCTGACTGACAGCTTGCTTGCCATCGCGCATCAGTCAACATGTCGTGGAGAAACCAGGGAATCACGGGTTCCAACAACATCCCTTTGGGGAAGCGCCGGTTTGGCGGCGATGATGGTGGTGAGGAGGAGTTCCAGGAAGCTCCCCCCAGCAATGGCAACGGAGAGCTGAAGCGCGGTCGCAGCCCAGAGCCTCGTAAGTCTTCGCATTGCAGTTTCTTTCTCCTACCATAGCAGATGCTGACGTTCCTTCTAGGTACCGATGCCGATGGCCCTCGCCGCAGAAAGAAGAGAAACCGTTGGGGCGACGCGTCCGAAAACAAGGCTGCTGGATTGATGGGCTTGACGACGGCCATCACGGCAAACATGACCGGCGAGCAGTTGGAGGCGTATACCCTTCATCTCCGTATTACGGAAATCAGCCAGAAGCTTCGCATTGACGACGTCGTTCCCGCGGATGGAGACAGGTACGTTGTCCACACATGTCCAGCGATGCGCAGCACCTCGCTAACTGCCAGCGTTTACAGATCACCCTCTCCTGCTCCCCAGTACGATAACCATGGTCGCCGTATCAACACGCGCGAGTACCGATACCGCAAGCGCCTCGAAGATGAGCGCCACAAGCTCATCGAAAAGGCCATGAAGACCATTCCTAACTACCACCCGCCACAGGACTACCGCAGGCCCACCAAGACCCAAGAGAAGGTCTACGTGCCTGTTAACGATTACCCAGAAATTAACTTCAGTATGATTGCTAACCCTCTAACCCTAACCAAAATTTCTTGTTTCCCTTGTTCCCTGCCTGCACTCTGGCCAAGCTTGTCATGCATCCTCCAGGTGTCTTGTCAGACCTGGCCTTGTTTGGAGACTGGGACCGTCATATAACTTGCTTCACCCTTTTGATACAGACACTAACGCTTAGCTCTCGTCGTAAAGTCGGCTTACTTATCGGACCCCGTGGCAACACTTTGAAGAAGATGGAGGGAGAATCTGGCGCCAAGATTGCCATTCGCGGCAAGGGCTCAGTCAAGGAGGGCAAAGGTCGTTCGGACGCAGCTCACGCCAGCAACCAGGAGGAGGATCTTCACTGTCTCATCATGGCCGATACAGAGGAGAAGGTCAATAAGGCCAAGAAACTCATTCACAACGTCATTGAAACCGTAAGCCCCCTTTTTTCTCCAATGAAAATTGGCAGTGAATGCTAACATCTCTCTTCTGCTAGGCCGCCTCCATTCCCGAAGGACAGAACGAGCTCAAGCGCAACCAGCTTCGCGAGCTTGCTGCCCTTAACGGTACCCTCCGTGACGATGAGAACCAGGCTTGCCAGAACTGTGGCCAGATCGGCCATCGCAAGTACGATTGTCCCGAACGCCAGAACTACACTGCCAGCATCATCTGCCGCGTCTGTGGCAACGCTGGACACATGGCTAGAGATTGTCCCGACCGACAGAAGGGTGCCAGCTGGCGCAATGACGGCGCTGGCAGAGCTGGCTCGGCTGGTCGCATCGAAGGCGGAGACGCTGTCGACCGCGAGTACGAGGTACGTTTTTCTGCATTCTTTATTCACAACCCCAATACTGACTTTGCGATAGCAACTCATGCAAGAACTCGGCGGCGGCTCAGCCGGTGGCGCTGCACCTGCACGCATCGAAGCCGGCCCTGGTTCCTACAATAACAACGGACCCAGCGGCGGTGATGCGAAGCCTTGGCAGCGTGGTCCTACCGGCGGTCCTGCTCCTTGGCGCAGCCGCAACAACGACTCGCGCGATGATCGCGATCGTGGTGACCGCGACCGCGACGGTGGTGGCGGCGGCGGCGGCGGCGGTCCTGCTCCTTGGGCTCGCGATCGCAACCGTCGTGATGACCACAGAGGCGGCCACAATGGAGGTCACGGCGGCTACGGCGGCAGTGACCACTATGGCGGTGGCGGCCAAGGTGGCTATGGTGGTCAATCTGCTGGCGCTGCTCCTGGTGCCGCTCCCTGGCATCAGCCTCCCGGAACCCAGAACGGCTACGGTGGCTATGGTGGATACCCGGGATACGGTGCGCCTCCTGGCATGGCCGCACCACCATCTGGCGTCCCTCCGCCGCCTCCTGGTGCTCCTGGTCTTGGAGCCCCTCCAGGTCTGGCTGGCGGCCTCAACGCACTCATTCAGCAGTATGCTGGAGGCGCCCCTCCCCCGCCTCCCTCGGACAATGCTCCTCCTCCGCCTCCCAGCGACCAACCTCCCCCACCTCCCCCTGGTGCCTGAAGTGGCGTGAGGGAGCTAGGAGGTAGATCAGACGACTAACCTTGATGCTAAGCTCGCATCTGCACACCGACTACGTTGACAACTAACGCTCAACTAACAACCAAGGATTCATACCATGACTTCCAGGGTTGGACAAGTGTTCGCACCTACGCATCAACGTGTTTTTCTCGCCCGAGTATTTGAAGACCCAAGTGTGGGCAGCAAGCACTTAACGCAAAAAAGCAGAATCAACAAAACAGCGGACACAAGAAAGCAAATTGTACGATAGAATAGGAACGGGAATTCTAGTGGACACTAATCCATAGGCTTTTCTTTCATGCATCGGTGCGTTTCTTTTATAGCCAAAAGATGAAGTTCATCCCAATTGAGGAAACCTAGCCTGTCCACGTGAAGTTGTTTGTGACACACTTGAAAGCTCAAAGCGCTGTATGGAGTCGGATCCGAGGGTTGGAGAGGCAAACGGAATGGAGAGTTCAGGATGGCTGGCCACCCAAGCTGTCACCGGAACTCTGTATCGTGGCGCTACGATATTTCGATGTCAAACACCACTCCAGGTCCAATCAAATTTCAACGGGCCAAGATTGAAGAGAGCCAGTCGCAAGTTTTCTGGGCGAGGTTGCATAAGTTCCCCGCATCGATGACATTCGCCTTGCATGTGAAGTGGGTGGGTGGGCTACCTGAGGCTCGAATGAAGGCCGCCGTTGGCGCTCTACCTTAGAACAGAGCATGGGAGCTTGGGCCACCTAAGGTACTGTACATCAATACCTAGCAGCAGCAGCAGCAGCACCAGCAGGCAGCTCCTGCCCACTGCGCATCATCCCAGGCCAGGAAGGTGCGTCCAGTGTCTGTCCCAGATCTGGCATGACGCCTTCCCACACCCTGCGCGCGGCGTTTCCACCTCCAGCCTCCTTCATCCTTCATCCCACTTGCAGAACTTCCCTTCTGTCGGCTGACAACTTTGCTTTGTTCGCCTTTATCCATTTCTCGTCAGCTTCCTCCGTGACCCGTTCGTTTTCCCCGCTGATCGACTGCTATCGTTGTTTCGCAAGGGTTTCCTAGGCCCATCCATTGCTTGCGCCTATATGCCCTGTAACACTACCTAGTCGCAATTATCTATCGCTTTGCCTTATCTGAGCTTCCGGGGGTTCGTTCACGCAACCCCTCTACCGAGCAGGCTCCGGCCATCTCCGCAGCCTTTCCTCCGAGGACAAAGCTGGAAGACTCGGAGCTTCGTAGCCTCTTCGTATCGTCTGGCAGGACTCGAGATCATATCAGCTACATTGCGAAGCTACCAGCGACACAGCCCCGAGTATTCCATCGGGCAATCCTAGCAACATTCGGTAGCAATGGCTGCCAAGAACCCATTCGGGTTCACGACAGGTCCAGTCACCTTCTGGCTGATTGTCGTCTACGCGGCCTTCCTCGTCCCGCTCGTCTGGATTCACGAATCCGTGCCGTCTGTCTCCAGCCACAATCCTTACACTGGTGTCAATGTAACCGAGGCATGGCAGGACTTGACGCACATCACCAAGAACTACCACCCGTACAACAGCCGCGCCAACGATGAGGTGGGCGCATACCTCTTGAACCGGATTGAGGAGATCTTGAAACGCAATGGAGTCGACTATTCCAAGGAAAAGGATGCAGGTGGCGTTGTCTGGCCTCAGGACGCCCAGTGAGTGAATTCCGTGTGTTCGATTTTATGCCGAGAAAATGTACTGACTAGAGGTTGCTGCAGCGGCACACCAGCTCTTCCACGCGAAGATGCCGTTGAGCGTGCTTCGACTGGCCCCCTCGTAACCGTCTTCGACGACATAATCTCCAACGTGACCTACGCTGGCACCTCTGGTCCACTCGGTCAGCCTGGTTCTTCGGCTCGTGCCACTTACTTTGAGGGCACGAACAAGCTTGTATATATCCGCGGCACAGAAGATGAAGATGGTGAATGGTGGAAGGGCAAGCGTGGCAACATTGGCCAGGGCGGCGTTCTCGTCAATGCTCATTACGACTCGTAAGTGGTATTACTGCTATGTTGGACCCTCATATTGATAGACGAACAGAGTCTCCACCGGCTATGGAGCCACTGACGACGGCATGGGTTGTGTGAGCGTTCTTCAGATGCTCAACTACTTCACTTCTCCTGGCCAGCAGCCCAAGCGCGGAATTGTGCTCTTGCTCAACAACGGTGAAGAGGATGGCCTGTACGGAGCCAGAGCCTACCATTACAGCCCTCTCTACTACTTCACAACCTCATTCGTGAATCTCGAGGGTGCCGGTGCGGGTGGGCGAGCGATCCTCTTCAGAACCACTGACTTGGAGGTATCCAAGGCTTACGCAAATGCGCCTCATCCCTTTGGATCCGTCGTTGCTGCAGACGGCTTCAAGCTTCGAGCGATTAAGAGCGAAACGGATTACAAGGTTTGGGTCGAGAACTTTGGCCAGCGCGGCCTCGATATTGCATTCTACCGACCTAGAGCGCGGTACCACACGAACCAAGACGATACCAGACATGCCTCACAAGAGAGCCTTTGGCACATGCTTTCCAACGGCTTGGCTGCTGTTGATTCTCTTCAGAAGACTTCGGGCTCCTTCACTGGTAAGCGCAATGACGGAGACAAGAAGAAGGTTTCGAGCGGTTCCGGAACAGAGGGCGTTTGGTTCGATATGTTTGGCAAGGGATTCGCCACTCTTGAACTTCGTGGCCTCTTCGCGTGGACATTGACTCTGCTCATTGTGTCTCCCCTGATTTTGGTCCTCGTCAGCTACATTCTGTCGAGGCAGGACAAGTACTACTTCTTCTCGAGGAAGGTCAAGATCGATATTGACGACGAATCGGTCCCTCTTGGCGGCTGGAAGGGTTTCTTCCGTTTTCCCTTGGCCCTTATTTTCTCGGGCGCGATCACTGTCCTCTCTGCCCTCCTGGTTCGAAGACTCAACCCTGAGGTTGTTTCCAGTAGTCCCTATGCAGTGTAAGTTCAAGTCAACTCTATCCCACGTTGCCATGCTGACGCTCTATACTAATAGCTGGGCGACGACTTTGTCTGTGTTCTTCCTCGTGTTCTGGACAATCTCGCGGGGCGCCAACGCCGTCAGGCCGAGCGCTCTTCAACGCGGTTATGCCCACATTCGGCTCTTCATCTTGAGCTGGGCTATCCTCGTTGGTGTTACGACCGCTGCCGACAGATTCCAGATTGCTTCGGGATATCTCTTTGCCTTCTTCCATTCCGCCGTCTTTGTTGCGACGCTCATCACTCTCTGCGACCTTTTCGCGCTCCCGAGCAAGCGAGCCTACGCAGAGACGGCTCACGACGATCAGCAGTCTAGGGATAACATATCCGAGGTTCCCAATTCTGATGCTTTGATTTCTCCGAGTCCGCACGAGGAGGGTACCACCGAAGAGCCCACGGAAACAACGCCGCTTAGGAGTGGCGATAATGGCAGTGGAAACAATGGCACAATACGCACGACATTCGCAACAACCTACCGACGCTCGCTCTCTGCCATCATGTCCAACCCAGACGACGATGACGAGGAGACCAAGGAAACAAAAGAGAAGCAGCCCTATGAGAAAGAACAACCGTGGTCAGCGAAGCTCCCATCTTGGACCTGGTTCTTCCAACTCCTTCTGCTCGCTCCGATCACCATCATCGTCTTCCTCCAAGTTGCTCTGTTCATCACCTCGGCCATGCAGTCCATTGGCGCCGATGGTGTGGACCCTTTGCTTCTCTATACCGCGATCGCCGTCTTCAGTATCATGATCTCTTTGCCTCTTACCCCCTTCATCCACAGGACGAGCTCCTACGTGCCGTTGGCCCTGTTGTTCATTTTCCTCATCAGTCTCATCTACAACCTTGCCGCCTTCCCGTTCTCCGCGAACAACCGCTACAAGGTCAAGTTCATTCAGCGCTTGGATCTGGACAATGGAAACTCTTCGGTTTCGATTCTAGGTCTGCAAAAGTACGCCCGCAAAATGATCAACGAGTTGCCATCCGCGGCAGGCCGGGAAGTCATTTGCACTCCATCGGCTGGCTTGCTATCTGATTGTCGGTTTGATGGATCTGCGGTGTTGCCCAGACTGCCTGAGTTCAAGGGCACCTCTTCTTCCGGACTCGAGTCTTCAAAGGATCCATACGCACATCTCGTGACTGTTAACATCACTTACTCGAACTCGACCAACGAGTATGAGCTCTGCATTGATGCCCCAGAGTCAAAGCAGTGTGTTCTCGATTTCGACGACGCCGTGACGTTTGACGTTCGGGAGAGCGCCGGTATCGATTCCCTCTTCAGCTCACCTACTGAGGGGGGCATTGACGGCATCACGCTCTGGCGAAGAGACTCTTCTATCCCATGGACGATTGACGTCAAACCAGCCGCCAAGCCCTCGTTCGCTAAGCCCATGGAGTCAGGTCATGAGGAGGCTCCCAAGGAACACGAGGAACTTCGGATTCGCCGGGTTCGAAAGCCTACAGGATTCAGCGGAACGATATCATGCTCTTGGAGCGATGCCAACGTTCGCGGGACAATCCCTGCCTTGGACGAAGCTTTGCAATATGCCCCTGACTGGATCGCCGTCACAAAGCAAGACGTAGGCCTGGTCAAGGCATACAAGCGCTTCAAGGCCTAAGTGGATATTGGAACTTATCTCACTGTCAACTTAGTGGATTTTGATTTCGTTGTGTTTCATGGGGTTGTAAAGGAGGACGCGCGGGTTCATGGCTCGAGCGATACATGAGAGGCTATGGACCGATGGAAAGCTGGAATAGTGCTTTACTTCATGGCGGTCGGCGACTGGAATTTTGTTCATTGGATGGCGTTTCGAGAGGCATCTTTTACGTTAGCATGCGATCATGGGGTACAGCATAATCACTGGTGGCTAGGCTGCGGACGGGTAACGAAAGCATGCGCAATAGGTATCAATTTGAAGTATCATTCAGGAAACGCCCCTGTCATTCAAGCATATGCTACCGAACCGTGTTCAACCGTATTGCGGAGGTTGTGTATGCGTATTCCTCGAGTATTGTGTATATTTGGTCTGCGGATTCAGGGCCTGCGTCGAGTAGCTTGCCTTACATTCAGGTTGAGGTCGCCCTTCCTTCAACCAAGCCCTCTTGATCCTCATGGTCGAGCTGTATAACGCCCTGGTCCGTTAGTACAGAACTTAGTATGAAATCTCGAGAAGTCAACGGATGGAGGATTTCGTAGGGGCTCAGTTCGATTTACGGACTGGGTACCTGAGCTTTTGCTTTTTTGCCCCTCTTGATGTCTTTCAGCCATTTCATGAACTGCAAAAGATTTTGTATAACGGGGTATCAATTACTGGTCTCGCGAGCAAGTATGCTGGAGAGAGCACGCCTAATTTCAAGGCTCTTTTTCTGGTTCTCATACCACTTTGGTACGAAGTAAACGAGACTCCCAGCACCGTGCCATCCAGTCCTTTCCCAGCCTTCCTTCCACCAAACCGCCAGCTTTTCCATCACTCCTGCATCCTCTCATCCTTGATACCACCACCACCAGCTCCTTCGGCCACCTCCTTGGCGTGATACTTCTCGAGCAGCTCCCTCATCTTGGCCCACAACTCGGCCTCCATGTCGCGCTCGACCTTGTTGTTGCGGCTGTTGAGCCACCCGACGTCGAGGTTACCAATGGTGCCGACGCCGTTGGGCTCGAGGGAGGGACGCGCGACGATCTTGGCGTCCTCGTTCATGACGGGTTGGCGGGTTTTGGGATCCGCGTCGTTGCGGAGCTTGATGATGGACGCTTCTTCGAGGGCGAGGATTTGGCGCTTCATGTGGACGTCTACTGTGTGCAGGGTGGAGAGGAGGGCGTCCATTGAGGTTTTGAAGGTTTGGGTTTGTGAGGCGGAGGATGATGGTGGTTGGAGGGGAGCGGAAGATGGGTTTGAGGGGTCTGATGATGGTGAGGGCTTTGGGGGTGCGCCGAGGGCGGAGAGGGCGGATGAGGTGTGGGACATTAGGGAGACTATTTGGGTGTCGATTTCGCAGAGTTGTTGGATTCGTTCTTGGAGGGTGAAGGGTTCGTTTGGGGCGTCTGTTGTCATTGTTGTGTCTGCCATGTTGGTGTTTTGTGAGCCGAGTTCAGATTTTTTTTAGGAGGAGAGAAAAGCGCAATTGTTGAGTTTGAGGAGTTGGGAAGTAGAATTAATATTGTGGGTTGGTCGTGGTTCTTGATGAGTGTAAAGTAGTTCGTGAGATGAGAGGTTGAGGTTGTGAGTGAGATCAGTGGGTGAGTGCTCATAGGCGAGCTTCAAGAGGTCGCGTCTGAGTTGAAAAAAGGTGGGTCCGACCATCGGGGAAGGTCGAAGCTCTCTTCCAATGGCCGAGGCCAGAGAAGCATGCACCATACCAGAAAAGGATTAGCGTCGTCCTCTCCAGATATTTTCCGCCGCCAACCTTGACCTCACGTCCTTTCCTTTGCAGCCTTGCAGGGGATGAACGAGCCTCATTTCATCGGGGGCTGGACGCGACGTTCGACGACATCTCATCGAATTTCATCATCAAAAGTCGGAACTTCGCATCTGCATCATTATCTGCTGATTGGAACCGTCGTCAGAGAGAAACACGCTCATTATAAACCTGGAGATCGCGGCCTCCGTTTCCGCCACGGATACCCGACCTTGGCTCGACGACTCACGATCACGTCTCACCCGCCCGATTCACGACTAATGCGCCGAGAGACGTGAAAGGCGCATCGCCACATCGAAACCAGAACCTTCACCTACAACTACATCGCGCACTCAAACATTAACAAAATTGTTTTGTAAAAAAATGTCGGGAAACCCGGCTCAACCAGGTGCCAGCACCACCCCAGGCGTACCAGCAGCGGCAGCGGCAGGCGCAGCAGGCACAGGCGCGTCGGGATCCTTTTCACAACAGCCTCAGCAGCAGCAGCAACAACAACAAGCTGCGTCGACGGTACCGGCGACGGTGACGCCTATTCCTGCTCCTACTGTTCCGACTAGCCAGACGCCGATCCCGCCTCCTGTGACGGCTACGCCTGCGCCGGCGGCGGCGCCGGCTACTGCGCCCATGTCGAATCAGAATTTGAACCAGATTGTAAGTTGGGATTCCGGTTATTAGTTTGGTGTCTTTTCTGTGGTTTCTATGCGCCTATATGGGGAGGGAGGGTTGTTCAATCGTCCGATTGCTGCGAGTGTGGTGACCGTGGTGACTAACGGCTGGTGATGACGGCAAGTGCTGTTGGAACCGTGAGAGATGGGATCGGCGGGTGAGGATCGTGTACTCCTTCGAGGGCGGGGGACAAAAGAACAGCAATTGCTTCTCCCATCTTCCGGGAGAATTGCAGAAACAAAATTCATCTCATGGGTAGCTGCCAATTCACATTTCTTTGTGTGTTTGGTTCTGCTTGCCTTTCCCTCATCCATCACCTTCCACCATCATTGTTAAACTCACCCACATTCCAACTCGTCTTTATTATTCTTTCACGTCGAACCATCATCAACATCCAAGAGTCTGAAGACAATGACCAGTCCCTTTCAAGAAAGAGTGTCTGCGGTGGAGATGGTAGGTCAAGGCAGCGTGGCTTCTGGATTCTCGTGGAAGAAAGCTGCCTCTCTCCCAAAACCCTTCTCGTCTCCCATCCCTTATGTTGATCATGATCTCTCTATTCCTATCTCATCCTCTCTTCTTCCTCCTCTACGTTCTACTTATCGTGGCGCGAGAGAGCAAGCATGTTCGATCCGGAAGACACAGAGACTATGAAGGCGGCGAAAGTGCGATCGCGCAGACTTGCCTTTTCAAAGCTTTCCCCGACATCGCTAACAGTTTCTAGGTCACAGACTATCTCCTGAAGCGGGGATACACTCGTACCGAGACCATCTTCCGCCAAGAGTCTTCGCACTTGGGTCCTGACGGTAGACCCATTCACAATAAGGTTGATGATTTGGGTCCTAAGAAGTACCTGAAGGCATTCAACTTGCTTCGTGAGTGGGTCGAGAACAACCTCGACATCTACAAGGTAAGCCTCTAGTAATCCATCTGCTTCTGGCCGTTCATTATTTCTAACCTTTTACAGTTCGAGTTGAACAAGCTTCTCTGGCCTGTCTTCGTCTACTCCTGGCTCGAGCTCGTCACTCAGAACTACTCTGAGGAAGCCAAGATCATCCTCAACAACCTCAAGTCGTACTTTGAGAATGTCCACTCCGACGACCTGAAGACCTTCTCCACCATTACACTGGCTCTGCACGCCAAGGAAAACCCTACCACCAAATTGTACAGAGAGAACAAGTACCGCGTTCCGCTCAACCAGCACATCAGTGGCAACCTCTTCCACTTCCTCGAGCGCGAGCGGGACAATGGCGGCGCTGTTATCCTGTACATTCTCTCGACCTTCTGCCAGTTGGACTCAACGGCCCGTGGCCCTATCGAGCCCTTTAGCTTCGAGGCGATTTACCGCCGATCTCAGAATCTCGACATTGACGAGGTGGATCTGCAAGAGGGTATCCCTGGAGTCTTCACCGGCATTTCAAACAGGGACCTCTTGGACAAGACGGTGCCCCTCAAGCTGGGCCCTTTGCCCATGGAGGAGGATCTCCGTGACGATGTCAGGGCCGAGCTCCAGGATGAGGACGCGCTCAACCCCCCGCCCGATGGCCGTGCTACTTTGGTAGACGAGTTCGATCGCAAGATCAAGCGTGAGGAGAGCGCCGATGGTCCCACAAGAGCTGACCTGCCTTTGCCTCCATCTCGCGCCAGAGACGTTGTCATGGAGATGCAGAAGGTCAGAGAGAACCGCGATCGCTTCAAGATTGACGGACGGACTGGAGGTGTGGGCGTTCCGGTCAGCGCATGCATGTTCACTTTTCACAACACTTTAGGCAGGCAAGTACTATGTTCTTATCAGGTGAATCCGACTGACAATCCGATACAGTGTATCATGCATGGACTTCTCCAAGGATCACGAAATGGTTGCTATTGGCACCACAGACTCATACATCAGAGTGTGGCATCTTGAGGGCAAGCCTCTCAAATCGAAACGCAACGACGAGAAGGACTACAAGTTCAACAACCGCAAGCTTATCGGTCACTCGGCTCAGGTGTACTCAGTTTCCTTCTCCGACGCCATTGCCAAGCTCGAGCACGCGCCATTTGGTGAGGAGGGCAAGGGTGAGTCTCCTATCGAGACAAGCTCCAAGCTGCTGTTGTCTTGTTCTGCGGACGGCACCGTTCGAGTGTGGTCGCTGGATGTCTGGGCCTGCGTCTGCGTCTACAAGGGCCACGATGGTCCGGTGTTGAGAGCCGAGTGGGGTCCTTTCGGCCACTACTTCTTGACTGGCGGCTGGGACAAGACTGTTCGCGTCTGGATGCAGGACCACGCATCCGCGCAGCGCATACTCGTCGGTCATGATTCCAGTATCTCGGCTGTGGCCTGGCACCCGAACGGAACCTACGTGTTCTCGGCTTCCGACGAGACGGACAAGTCGGTCCGCATGTGGTCTGTCATCACCGGCCAGTGCGTCCGTGTCTTCACCGGTCACACGGACTACATCTCCACCATCGAGGTCGCGCCCAATGGCAGAATCTTGGCCACGGCTGATTGCAGTGGCAATATCTTCTTCTGGGACATCCAGAAGGGTCTCCGCATCAAGCGCTCCCGCGGCCACGGTAAAGGCGGAATCTGGTCCATGAGCTTCAGCGTCGAGTCCAATGTTCTCGTTTCTGGTGGCCAAGACGGCACGGTCCGTGTGTGGGATGTCGAGCTCCCTGCCGAGGGCCACAAGGCGGCTCAGCAGCAACAAGGAGCGGCGCCTGCTCAAGAGGGAGGCGACACCATCGTTGCGGCCAGCGGACAGACGGATCGCCCGACTGCTAGCGGTCAGGGAGCGACTGGCAGTGGATCTAATGCTCCCAGCGGCGGAAAGAAGAAGGGCAAGGAGGTTATGATCACGCCCGACCAGATCAGCGCATTCCCGACCAAGAAGACGCCCGTCATGAAGGTGCAGTTCACCCGCATGAACCTGATTGTGTCTGGCGGCTGCTATGATCCCGACCGTTAAGCGCAACATGCATCCCTTCTCACTGCGGAATGGGATTTTCTGGAGGGAAAGAATCAGACTGTCTTCATCTTGAGTTTGGCGTTGGGGTCGCGGTAGTCGACAAAATGTGATTTGGGCGAGGTAATCCTGGTCTGGGACAGCAAAATCGCCTGGTTACTGGTTCGTGTAAATCATCAATGTAGTAGATACCTCTAGTCAATTGGGAAGGCTATGAAGCCAAGTTGCCCGTGCTCTAAGCAAAATGCATGTGAACTCTTCCCTTTGAACTGAGTCTTTGTCCATGGTATGTCTCAGTAAGGTACCTACTTCGTACATTGGCACCACCATTGCCTGGCGTCAGTCGAGACTGGAGCAGTGACGTTGACCGCAACCGCTGGGTACCTCAACTGCGGCGCTTCTGGGGCGGGCCGAGTAGGTACCTAAGGTACAGGGGCCTCGATGGGCTCTGGGGTCCCAATCGAGGTCGAGTGGCTGAAGCTTCCAACGGGCTACAGCGAATCAGGTGGTGCGGAGCAGCTGTGCACCTTTCGCATTGAGCCTCTGTCAGACACAACCAGAACCGGCCGTGCCTTGGATGTACCTTACCTTACTGTGCTGCCTTGCCTTTTGCCAGACCACATCCCACCTCACCTCAACTCACCACATCAACCATCGCCCGCTTTTCGTGGTACTCCAAAGGCTTGTCATCTAACCCGATTTCATTCTCACGAAATTGCCACAGCCGCTGGCGCATCGAGCAAACGAAAGGATGGATCCCCTCGAAGAGTCGCCATGGGGCGATTCGCAACCCACCTCCGAGCCCTCGACCCAACAGCAGCCCTCCCAAAGCGAAGAGTCGACGTCGTCGCAGCCCGCGGCCAAGTCAGACGCACCCAGCACGGCGTCTGCACCTCGCCCTTCACGCTCCGGACCTGTCCGCCGCCTCGTATCCGCCCAACCTACCCGCCTCGAAGCCGTCGACGATCCCCTCGGTCCTCTGGGTCCCCTCGGCGCTCCCGCCGCCGCAGACAATGGCGCCGAAGCCGGTCAGGATGCTCCGCCCGTGCCGCCGCAGAAGGAGCAGATGGTGATCCGCACCTCGATGCCGCCCCAGCAGGGCCGCCGCGCCGGACCTTCCGACCCTCATCACATCGACGAGGACGATTACGACCGTCCGTCTGGCCCGAGGCAGCCGCCGCCCGTCCAGGCTGCGCATCCTAGCCCGGTGCGGACGCATACTCAGCCTAGCGTCAGCGTCGAGCAGGCTAGCAAGCCGAGCTTCCAGATCACGGTCGGCGATCCGCACAAGGTTGGCGACTTGACCAGCTCGCATATCGTCTACTCTGTCAGGACCAAGGTAAGATGAGGCTCTTCCATCGGTGAAGCGGGGATTTGGGGGAGAGGAGCTCGCGCTAATCATGATGGATACCGCAGACCTCCTCAAAGGCCTACAAGCAGCCCGAGTTCGAAGTAAAGCGCAGATACCGTGACTTCCTCTGGCTGTACAATACGCTGCACGGAAACAACCCGGGTGTCGTTGTGCCGCCGCCGCCGGATAAGCAGGCTGTCGGTCGGTTCGAGAGTAACTTTGTCGAAGGACGTCGCGCCGCTTTGGAGAAAATGGTGAACAAGACTGCTGCGCACCCTACTCTACAGCACGATGCCGACCTGAAGCTGTTCCTCGAGAGCGAATCGTTCAATGTCGACGTCAAGCACAAGGAGCGAAGGGAACCGATCCCCGGAGAAAGCAAGGGTGTCCTCGGCAGTCTGGGTATTAACGTCGGTGGCAGCAGCAAGTTTGTCGAGCAAGATGACGTGAGTGTGCGCTGGGATTACCAGGAGAACTATGTACTGACAAAGGACGACAGTGGTTCCATGACCGCAAGGTTTACCTCGATGCGCTTGAGAACCAGCTCAAAGCGTTGCTCAAGGCCATGGAGACAATGGTTGGCCAGCGCAAGATGATGGCCGAGGCCGCTGGAGACTTTTCGGCGTCTCTACACGCTCTGTCCACGGTTGAGCTTTCGCCCTCGTTGTCGGGCCCGCTGGATGCGCTGTCCGAGCTGCAGCTGACGATCCGCGATGTCTACGACCGTCAGGCCCAGCAGGATGTTTTGACCTTTGGCATCATTATCGAGGAGTACATCCGCCTGATTGGGTCAGTCAAGCAGGCGTTCAGCCAGCGACAAAAGGCGTTCCACTCGTGGCACTCTGCCGAGTCAGAACTGCAGAAGAAGAAGGCCTCGCAGGACAAGCTCCTGCGGCAAGGCAAGAGCCAGCAGGACAGGCTGAACCAGGTCAGCGCGGAGGTCGGCGACGTGGAGAGAAAGGTGCACCAGGCCAGGCTCTTGTTTGAGGACATGGGCCGGTTGATGAGGGCGGAGCTGGACCGCTTTGAGAGGGAAAAGGTGGAGGACTTCAAGAGCGGCGTTGAGACCTTCTTGGAGAGCGCGGTAGAGGCACAAAAAGAGGTAAGACAATCCGCGACACTCACGAAGGCGGCATTGAGACTGACACACGATAGTTGATTGAGAAGTGGGAGACGTTCCTCATGCAGCTGGATGCCGAGGACGACGAGACGGTCTTTTACCGGCCGCCCGTCATCCAACCCTCGGGCAAGCCGCCCGGCAACACAGCCATTGACAGGGCTCGTGCCACCATCAACGACGACTCTGACTAGAAGCCCGAGGCACGGCGTCCGCTGATTCACTATATTATACCTACGCATCACAGCAGCGGTTTCTTCTTCGACCCCACGGCGCACTGGGACGAGTGACGAGTGAATAAAGTCTGGGCAGCAAGTGCACATTGTGGAGCCTATCCTTTCTTGGTTGTAGTAGTTGTGGTTGTTGTACATATCTGACAGTAGAAGAAACCCCATGGGCGGTATAAGGGGCTCCCGTAATCCACCTCCTCCTCTGACCACGCTTTTGTTCGCCCCTCTCGGCGGTTCTCCGTGAAATTCTCCTTTTTAATACAATGATCCGGCTCTATGCATCGTACAAGCTTCTTTTCTCGCCAGCTATACGCAGGGGGATGCTGATGACAGTGGTGATGGTTTTGTTTGCGTCATGCTCTCGCGCTGCCTTATTTCTTTCCCTTCTTGCCCTTCTCCGGTGCCGCCACCTTCTTGGGGGGCTCCTTGGCAGCCTGCTGCGGCTGCATCGCGGCGTACCCGCTGATCAAGTCGCCCATGTCGAAGATGTCGTCGTCCTCGGGGGTGGCGGCCGGCTGGGCTGGCTTCGCGGTCTCCTTTGCCGGGGCGGCAGCAGCAGCAGCATCCTTTCCTGTGGCAGCAGCGTCCTTTCCAGCAGCGCCCTTTCCAGCGTCCTTTGCAGAAGAGGTTGCGGCGGCGGCGGCGGCGGCGTTGAGCTCCTCCTCTGTCGGCTTCTTGGCGGCCAAATCGAACCCGCGACCGAAGCGCTCACGGAAGGCCGCGAGTTTTCCGGCCTCGTCGACTTCCACGTTCTTGAGGGACTTGTCGGAGGGTTGCCAGAGGGCGTGGTTGCGGGAGTCCTTTGCGGAGCGGACGAGGGGGGAGGGGGAGGTGGTGCGGACGGTGTAGGTGCTTCCATCGGAGAGCTGGATGAGCTGGGTGAAGGTGTAGGGGCGGCGGGGGCGGGGGATGAAGGTTGCTGCGCGGGATTGCTGGATGCTTCCTATCCGTGGTGAGGAGGCGGAGAGTGTGGCGCCGGAGCAGGAGGAGGTTGTGAGGGAGGGCCGGTGGGACAGGAGGCTTGTTGGCCTGGGCAGGTGGGTTGGGAGCTTGCCCATTTTTGCGGATGTTTCGTATGGTTCGAGGAGTGGTGGAGGAAAGCTCAATTGGATCGGAGGCGAGAAAGAGCTCTGGGAGGATCGTGGGGAGGGATTGGCGCTGGCGGAAGCGGTGCGACGGGCGGAGGGGGAGCGGCGCGCGTGGGCGAAAAGGAGAATTTGTTTGAAGCTTTTGGCGATGCTGGCTCGAATTGGACTCGAGTCTTTCCTTGGCCCAGCTGGCCGCGCGACCTGAGGAAACCAAAATTTCGGTTGGTCGGGGCCGGGGAGTTCCGTGCGCGCGGGTCCACAGCGCAGCGTGTGTCCCGGGGATGAGTGGTTTCTTATCGATAAGGAATTTTTCTGGGTTCGGTTTACATCACCGAGAGCTTGAGCTACCACCATTACAAGGGGGGTTAGGAAGTCCAGCTTTTGACGTCCTTCATAGCCCCTCCACGAGCCATTGCTTTCCTTTGATGAAACTTACAGACGCGACCTGCGTGGATTTCAGTTGCGCCGTCTATTGCTTTGTTAGACTGCCGATTTCTTGAGCGACTGCGCGCTACCCCGTACAGCGACTTCGGGCTAAGCTCCGGCGCATGCGATGACCGGAGCTCGTGTGCTGGGGACCGCGCTGCGTCGCGTCGGCCGGCCAAGGACCGGAGGAGACGGCCTCCAGCGGACCCTGATTCGAAGCTGTAAGGAATTGTCACTATTCACTATGCTTGAACCCGGTCACTAACGCATCGTCTCAGCTCAGAATGAACGTTCGCCATGCACAGCAAGGCCCGTCGGCCTAAACCCACCGACCTCCGAGCACCACCGAAGGATACACACGACACCGCGATACCTCTCCTCCTCGAAACCAACGACACCAACGACGACATGGCGCAGAGAACCCCACCAACCCCCAACAACAACCCACGACCCCGCAGCCGACCTCCCAGCACAGCTCTGCGGCGTGATGCGGAGAGTAGCGCACTCGGTCGTCGTCGCCACGGCCACAGACCGCGCGGGTCGGCCACGGGGCATGACGATGTCGAGTTTCGTGAGCTTGAGCATGGAGCCCGTGCCGCTGGTGACGTTCAACGTCCGGACGCCGAGCCGGACGCTGGATGCGATTCACGAGAGCGGCGGGGTCTTCAATGTGCATGTTCTCGCGGAGGGGGGGGAGGGCGCGAGGGTTGCGGATTTGTTTACGAGGGGGAACGCTGGGGCTGGCGAGGGCTTGTTTGAGGGGTTGCCTGAGGGGGTTGAGGTTGTTGAGGAGGATGGGGAGGCGCCTTTGCTTGAGGGGAAGGGGGTGTTGTATGTGATCAAGTGTCGGGCTCTTGGGGAGGGGATGGTGAGGGTTAGGGATCATGTTGTTGTTGTTGGGGAGGTTGAGGGGGTTGTGAGGGGGGGAGGGGAGGGGTTTGGGCTTGTTTATGCTGATCGACGGTATCGGACGCTGGGGGAGTGTTTGGTAAAGGGAGAGAAGTGAAGGCGGGAGACTGAGGTTGGAGATGCTGTGTATCATACCCCATGTATAGAGATTGCGGATAGAGTGTATACTATGTGAGGGAAACTCCGCCCATTGATTTCCAAGAGGATGGTTAGGGCGGCTATAAATCGGCACTGGGAGCTTGTTGACGGTATGAACTGGGCTTTGATTTGTTTCCAACAACCAACTTTGCATAAGAGGCCGTCAGGTGAGAGATATCAAATAGGTCGGTTTTGGCCAAGTCCAATAGATGAAATTCTCTACATTCATTCATTCTATGCATACAATGTTACGAATCGCTTTCATGATCATAGATTCTTCTCCTCCGTCATAACCTTTTGCACCGCCCACCGCATTGGAGTCTCTCGAAGCTTACACCCCACTCCAGATATATTTCAGATGAGGACGCCCGAAACGCATACGCTATCCGGAATAGTAGTGTAATGTGAGATCCAATACCAGTAAAGACAGTGTAATGACTCCATCTACTTGCCCGGGCACCCACGACCCAAGCCATTGGAGATTGAACAGCAATCAGCGTTCTATGTATACTACACGTCAGCTCTGCCCTATAATTCTTCTCATCGTGTTACTTACACATTTGGTGCGGGGGATGTTATAGTCTGTAGCACAATACTTGTGCAGCGGGCAGTAAATGTTGCCGGAAAGAGTACCGTACTGCCTAAAGCAGGCAGCTTCTGAGCTAAAGCAGCAGTCATGCTTCCCATCGCACTGAGCATTTGGGTCGCCGACTCCTGGGGCTTTCTGTCGGTTCTCAAGCTTAGTCGGGTTGGCGATGGCCGTTCCCACCGTCAGGGAGATGATGCTGATAATAACTGAGGAGAACTTCATGGTGAAGGAATGGAATCAGATTTGATAGTAGATATGTATGTGTAAGATGTTGAAGTTGGATAGAGATAATGAACTGGTTCCAAGTCATCCTGATGATCCAAGACAGATGAGCTTTATACTTTTCTCAGATGGCTCAAATCACTGTGTGTACTTGAAAATAGAATCCTGATATTCGGGCTTGCCCCTTTCCAATTCATGAGACTACGGCCTTGATACATCCTAAAGGGGTGCCCAGAGTCCATCGGCGTAGCACACTAATTGTGCCAATGTTCGAGCTAGTTGCCTTTGATAGTCGGCATGTTCAAGTCGAGACTCTGTATGCACGTGCACTTACTAGTCCGGCAGGTTTCCTCACTTCAGGCCACCAAGGCAGAATATCCGATTTGGACCATCCTTTTACGGAAAAAATATCCCTGAAGCACGTTCCAAGGCCCGTGGTTCATCGCTTATAGAGTTTACAGCCGTGCGAGTAGGTATGCGAGTCAGTTGTATTCTGTGATGACAGTAGGAACACCCGCGTCTATCCCGTTTCATACTGTGCTCAGCTGCTCGAGTGTCGCCCTTACGGTGAGACATGCTTGGTAAAGTATAAGGTAATAATAGAGAAATACGTGTCGGTTTGAGTGGTTATCAATATGGCCGAAGTGGGATATGGTATGTCTGTTCACCTCCTGCTCTAGGAGGTGTTTCTTCTTCAAGGCCGTGCATCAAGGCCGTCAAGGCCATCAATACTAGTGATAGTGTATGTTGCCTGTTCATGTCTCCGTGAGGTTCGACAAGCATACTCTCAACATCGCCAAGTAACAATAATCATTGCATGAAGAAGTCTAGTCTGTTTCATATCACGAGTTCGGTATCTCCTGCTCAAGTAAGGCTAGCGGCCTATTTCTAGGAGTGGCATCGATGCACTACTTACTTTTGGAATGGGATTTTATGTTATATAAAGGTCGAATCATCCATCGATTAAAAGTAGAAATCACTCGACTCTTCACTCACAAGTTCACAATACAACTATCAGTCTATCACGACCTCTTAGACACCTTACTTCAAAACCACCTTCAAGCAGCACTCCATATCTCCAATATGCAGCTCATCAACTTCCTCTTCGTCACTGCCATGACCATTACATCGGTCAATGCTGGCGTAAGTGACCTCTTCCGCTTCGGCCAGCTTTGATGCAGAGTGGCTAACACTCGATATAGTGCATGATTGCAGGAAGCTACGATCCCAATTGCTGCTGGGGCGGCAAAGATAACGTAGATGCCTGCAACAGGCAAGGCGCTTGCAATGTTGGCGGCGACACAGACAATTACTGTGCCAAGTTTGGAATCACCCCGCAGCAGTGTGTAAGTAGCCTCACAAGTTACCCCTTCTGCCCCAAGACATCACAAAAGCATCTTTCTAACATGCTCTCTGTCTAGGATGCGGATTGCTGCGACACACGCACCAAGAAGGGCAAGCCTTGTCCTAAGGGGAGGAATGCTTGTGACCGCAAAACGGGCTGCCCTAACCGGTAGACTATCGCTGTTGGAACTTCATATTGTTCAGTCTGCCCATCGCTTAGTATCTCGCTTATCTCGCTTATCCCGCATAGAGCGGTTACCGAAACTGCCTTAGGCGGTTCTGCCACCGCTTGGACCTGGTTAGCACTCTTAGCATACTTTAGAAAATAGCATTCATTCAGCTCAGTGCGGGCCTGGAAACTCGCCCTTGTCCTATTCTTCAGTGTCGGGATGTGTCTATGTAGATATGCCCAACTATGTGCGACTATTGTCGAGGGTGGTCAAAATTAACCTTGAATTGAGAGTTAAATAGTCTGAGTCAAAAAGCGTAAATAGACGGGAGTTAATTGGCCTGTCTTAGTGTCTGCTGATAGGTTTTGGATAGAGCAAGTTCTATAAGCAACTCTTTCTGCGGCTCCTTGGCAGCGGTGTGAAACGGGTCCCAACTGAAGTAGGGCAGGCATGGTAGTTGAAGCCGAGAATAGACGTCGTGAAAAGAGATGGACCGTGCAACGACCCCCTGGCCGTTGCCAATGATGCGGGCGGTTCGGACGCGGGGGAGATGAGATGTGCTGGCTGGCATATCCGTAAGGCGCCGCCGCAGACTTAAGCCAGCAGCCCAGCACCCAATCTCGGGGCAGATTTCACGAAGGGGTGGCGCTTGATTTTCAGCCTCGTCGATGGGTGGGACTTGTGGCAAGGGTATTTCAACGCCAGACGACTGGTTGCTGGGCTGAAGTTCGCACGCGTTGACATCGAACCATTCAAGATGGACCATGGAGTAAACAGAAGCATCTAGCAAACAGTGGAAGTGTCGATTTCTGATTGAGGATATTGAGAGGGGTCCATCACCCGGAGGGGGTAAAAACTGGAGTAAAAGAAGACTTTGGACTGTGGACAAACAGACACTGTTCATCCCCACACCGAAGGAGGCACGGAGGCAAGGGAGAATCAATGGAAGGCAAGAAGCTGTGACCACCGGCCGCTACGTGAGGTACCTAGGTAGAGTGACGCCTTCCTCAGTCTTCTGAAGTACCTTTGGTAGGTACGGAGTAAGGTACATACAGAAGAGGTTCCTTACATAAGGTGAGGTACCCAAGGTAAATACACTTGATGCAGTTCACAAGGCAAGCGCACATCGTTGGTTGGCGGTAAGGCGTCCCTTCCCCAAATGCATTGGATGGCGATTCTCTTCTTTTCCATGCTGATCTGAGGTGCTATGGAGGCAGGCGCAGGCGGCAGGCGGCAGGCAGGCGAGGAAGGCACAAGAAAAAAAAGGGACCCTCGTCCCACACGGTGGCCCCCGCAGATCAGCCAATCAGAGCCCCCGCACGGTTGCTGTGGTGGCAGGGCAAGCGAATCAGAGAAGGGTCTGGAAGGCCTGGAGGTGATGGAATCGCATAGAATTCTTGAGCTGGGGGGGTGAGCGTCGCTGCCTTTCTGCTTTGGGGTCCAGACGGCCACCGGGACTCCAGACGCCTTTTTCTTTTTTAGCCTCCTCCTCTTCCCACGTCGTCTTGACTCTCAGACTTCTTCTTCCTCGCATCTCAACTTTTCTCTTCCTCTCCCAATTTCTCTCTTCTCTCCTACTCCCCCAAAAGAATCAATCTTTCCATCGTCGATTCGTAGCAGCGAAAGACCTGTTGCATCCGTAGAGAAGCTCTTCTCAAGGTAAGCTTGCCGAAACACACCCCGCCGTCCCGGCCTGGTCTCGATGCCGCTTTGCCATCCCCAGCGTCACCCCTCACTTCTCTCTCGATTGGGGCTTGGTATCTCACAATTCAAGCGTCAATATCGTCAGTGATTGAGATTCATCATCTTTGCACCATCTATTTGCCTTGGAGTTCCAATTCTGCGAAATTGGCGACAAGGCTCCCCTCCCCCCGCTCTACTGCCCCTCCACAAACCGCAGCCTCACCGCCACACAGCCAACCTTTCCAAACACCATCTAACAAATTTTGACAGAATTACGACCGTTACGCCCTAGATACCCACATCCTCCATCACAATGTCTTCCCCGGAGACCTTCGAGTTCCAGGCTGAGATCTCTCAGCTCCTGTCGCTCATCATCAACACTGTCTACTCAAACAAGGAGATCTTCCTGCGTGAGCTTGTTTCCAACGCCTCCGATGCCTTGGACAAGATCCGCTATGAGTCTCTTTCCGACCCCAGCAAGCTCGACTCGGGCAAGGACCTGAGAATCGACATCATCCCCGACAAGGAGAACAAGACCCTCACCATCCGTGATACCGGTATTGGTTTCACCAAGGCTGTAAGTACCACATGTTCCCATCACCTCCCAATCAAATGCAACGATCAGTGGCTGACCTCTTTAGGACCTCGTCAACAACCTGGGTACCATTGCCCGCTCCGGAACCAAGCAGTTCATGGAGGCCCTCACCGCCGGTGCCGATATCTCCATGATTGGCCAGTTCGGTGTTGGTTTCTACTCTGCCTACCTTGTCGCCGACAAGGTCACCGTCGTCTCCAAGCACAACGACGACGAGCAGTACGTTTGGGAGTCTTCCGCTGGTGGTACCTTCTCCATCACCCCTGACACCGAGGGTGAGGCCCTTGGCCGCGGCACCAAGATCATCCTCCACCTGAAGGATGAGCAGACCGACTACCTCAACGAGGCCAAGGTCAAGGAGGTCATCAAGAAGCACTCCGAGTTCATCTCCTACCCCATCTACCTCCACGTCACCAAGGAGACTGAGAAGGAGGTCCCCGATGAGGAGGCCACCGAGACCACCGAGGAGGGTGACGACAAGAAGCCCAAGATCGAGGAGGTCGATGACGATGAGGAGGAGAAGAAGCCCAAGACCAAGAAGGTCAAGGAGACTTCCATTGAGGAGGAGGAGCTCAACAAGCAGAAGCCCATCTGGACTCGCAACCCCCAGGACATCTCCCAGGAGGAGTACGCCTCCTTCTACAAGTCCCTCTCCAACGACTGGGAGGACCACCTTGCCGTCAAGCACTTCTCTGTTGAGGGTCAGCTCGAGTTCCGTGCCATCCTCTTCGTTCCCAAGCGCGCTCCCTTCGACCTGTTCGAGACCAAGAAGACCAAGAACAACATCAAGCTCTACGTCCGCCGTGTCTTCATCACCGACGATGCCACCGACCTCATCCCCGAGTGGCTCGGCTTCGTCAAGGGTGTTGTCGACTCTGAGGACCTTCCCCTCAACCTGTCTCGTGAGACCCTTCAGCAGAACAAGATCATGAAGGTTATCAAGAAGAACATCGTCAAGAAGGCTCTTGAGCTCTTCCAGGAGATCGCTGAGGACAAGGAGCAGTTCGACAAGTTCTACTCTGCCTTCTCCAAGAACCTCAAGCTCGGAATCCACGAGGACTCCCAGAACCGCAACATCCTCGCCAAGCTCCTCCGCTTCAACTCCACCAAGTCTGGCGATGAGCTCACCTCCCTCTCCGACTACGTCACTCGCATGCCCGAGGTTCAGAAGAACATCTACTACATCACTGGCGAGTCCATCAAGGCTGTCACCAAGTCTCCCTTCCTGGACTCCCTCAAGGAGAAGAACTTCGAGGTTCTCTTCCTTGTTGACCCCATTGATGAGTACGCCATGACTCAGCTCAAGGAGTTCGAGGGCAAGAAGCTCGTCGACATCACCAAGGACTTCGAGCTCGAGGAGACCGAGGAGGAGAAGGCTGCCCGTGAGGCCGAGGAGAAGGAGTACGAGGGTCTCGCTAAGAGCCTGAAGAACGTTCTCGGCGACAAGGTCGAGAAGGTCGTCGTCTCCCAGATGCTTACTGGTGCCCCTTGCGCCATCCGCACTGGCCAGTTCGGTTGGTCCGCCAACATGGAGCGTATCATGAAGGCCCAGGCCCTCCGTGACACCTCCATGTCCTCGTACATGTCTTCCAAGAAGACCTTCGAGATCTCCCCCAAGAGCACCATCATCAAGGAGCTCAAGAAGAAGGTCGAGACCGACGGCGAGAACGACCGCACCGTCAAGTCTATCGTCCAGCTTCTCTTCGAGACCTCTCTCCTGGTCTCTGGCTTCACCATTGATGAGCCCGCCAGCTTCGCCGAGCGCATCCACAAGCTTGTCCAGCTCGGCCTGAACATTGACGAGGAGGAGGAGACTGTCGAGGCCCCTGCCGCTGACACGTCCGCTGTCGAGACTGGTGACAGCGCCATGGAGGAGGTTGACTAAAGGATCTTTGGGATGAAAAATACGGGATACCAGAGAAAAAGTTCATCGGAGTTGGACGGTTTTCGGTTTTAATTGCGGCTTCGGAAGTTTTCCATAATTGCCTCCCCATATTAGATGTATGGGTGTATTCTAGTTAGCCCGTCATGATCATGAGACAGATGAGGTAGACGCTCAGAATTGGAACGTTAAGACAAACAACCTTGTATGATGATGTGATGTATTGTGCATTGTTCGCGTAGTCTTTTGTCCTGTCGCCAGTTCGCCGAGATTAATTGACTGGCTATGATGGTATGCCTCTTCTAACCTGTTCTCCATGGACGGAGCTGTTGAAGAACTTCAGTATTAGTTGATCTCCGAAGAACTTTATGCTGTCGTTCTTGACAGCACAAGATCGTGCACCTTGAGAAACGACTAGCTCACGGCAGACCACGGCCGTCCGGAAGGGAGGCGACAGGCCTCCTGATAAGCTAGACTTCTTGCGTGAGCAGCCGGAGTCCCTGACATGACATCGTTGTTTCTGAGCCGCCAAAATTCGAGGTCGAGCCCTTCTCGCCGTCGCCACGGCACTGGCTCACGCTCGCTCACCCTCGGCCGCGCGATATGAGCGTCCGTTCTACTGGACGATTTCAGAGAGCCCCTTTGGCTCAGTGGTAGAGCGTCGCACTCGTACTTGTTCGACATGCGAAGGTCCACGGTTCAATCCCGTGAGGGGGCAGCCTTTTTGGATCCCAGACTCAACTCGCTTCCTTTTTCTCGTTTTGATCACTTGTATACATTCATTTGATACTCGGGAGCCGGCTAGTACACTATACGAGGCATTTTACATGCTCAGGGTTGAATGTGCAAGGTCAAGTAAAGAAAGTTCTGAATAGTAACTACCAAACAACATCTCCAAAACCGCCTTTACTCAAACCCCATTTACTCGTTCTCCTAACCGCCCTTCTTTCAACTCTTATATCCCCTCTTCAATTCCATAATAAGCCACAGCCTTTCTGTCTAAATCTGTATCCTTGACTCGCTCGAGATCACTGGCCGCAGCCATAAGCGCCACAAGCACTATTCGCCTTTGCAAAACAACCATTCAGGCAGGGAGCAGATCTTCTGCCAGCTCCAATACACTGGAGGATGCAGAGATTGGTCTGGACGTCGATGCATTTGAACCAGTTCGCGTAGGGGCAGGCTCGAGCCTCAATGCTGCTAATAGTTGCTGCGTTATCGGTGGTTGCTACGTTGCTGGTAGTGTCTGCTTCGGCTACTGGAGCGGCCGTGGAGAAAGGCAGGCTCATGGCGGCCGCGAGGAGCTGTAGATACAGGTCAAGGTTAGCTTGAAGAGCGTCCCTTAGATACTGACAGCGAGCTGTCAAGACTTAGTTGAGGAGAGAGTTTACTCTTACGAAGCTTTGGAAGTGCATTTTTGCTGGATTAAGGGGGGCTTTCAGGTGGCGATGGGGGGCTGGATATATAGAAGACGAAGAGCAGAGCTATTGCTTTGTGAGAGGATGTTCCGACTGTGGCTGCTGATATGTTTCAAAACCAGAGCAAGAGGTGATTTCATCGCCGTTTTATATTTCCACTCGGAATCACGATGCGCTTCTTGGTTCTCAGCTATCGCCTCGGCGTCTGCCTTTATGAGGCTATGCTATCCCACTCAGCCCGAGGGCTGACGATGTCTGGGTGACTGGCGCCCGAGTAGATTGACTCCTGGCTGTAAAGAATTGAAGAAGTTGAGAGACAAATACGAGGCGCATAGTTGTGGATCGACTTTTTATCCCTCTCAGACTTGGAAAGTCCATCATAGGAATTCCACGCTGTGGATCTGATGCAGGCCGAGACTCTCGGCGTCAGCTTGTCTTAGGTTCATTATCTTTCGAATGGTTACTGAATTACACTCTCACGTCAGCTAATGTCGCTTTGTCTATACTTTGACTAACAACTGTGACTACCCACTGTCATGTTCTTGCGAAAGGATTCAGTTTGTCAAAGTGGGACTAACTCCGAATAGCATTTTCGCATCCAATGAGGGCTTCACGACAGAGCGTAGTTGGAGCCACTTGAAAGACTCATCCAATCAAGGCCGTCGATACTAGCCTAGTCGAACTGCTCAGCTCTGTGGCATGGACCGGGGGATTCAGCTATAGATCTCGTAGATTTATATGCCCCTCCTGGGAGCCAGTTCCTGAAGGCCATCAGCATTCGTGGTGTTTGAACCATAACCAAACGCCCTGCCAGGTGTTCTCATAAGAAAACCAAAGGATCCTCCAGTCTGTCTGGGTGCAAATGTGATCATAGATCTAGGTTGTTTGGTACTGCTCACGGTACAGTCCTCTTCAACAACTGACTCGACATCCCTCGCCCCTGACTTTCGTCCGCCCTCCTTGGAGACGACCACCATCCCACTTCTCCCCATCAACAAGCAAAACCTCACAATACGGGATCTCAAGTACTCCCTCAGTCCCATTAGGCGTCAGAATCTCGGCCTCCAATACCCCATCTTCCCCCTGTCCATCATCACCACCACCACCCTCAACCACAACAACAGCCCCATACTCACCCCCCTTCCCATCCCTCCACCCCGCCTCAGCCCTCCTCAGATCCCCCATCTGCGGCTCGAACCGCCACCTCCCCCACCCAACGACCTCAAGTCCGACAACCTTGAAGCTAAGAGCCTGCGTCGGCCCCGTAGACCAGCTGTGCGAGAGCGAAGTATACGCCGCGTCGTAGTTATACCCCCGCTGCGAGCGGTAGTACAACGACCCGTTGGCGCTCATCCCCTCCACGAGCGTGGTCCCCGTCATGAGCGGGGAGTCGAGCATGTAGCCCCACGTGCGTCGCATCAGCCGCAGCCCGCGACGGGGTTTCCGCGCGGCGAAATGCGCGAGGACTTCGATGGAGGAGATAAAGGGGGAAATTGTGTCCGGTAACTCGGGCGTCACGGGCCCGATGGCGTTCCAGTTGCGAAGTAGCGCCGCGGAGAGGGAGGAGGCTTGGGCGGGGGATGTGGTGAGGTTGTATTGCAAGGCCAGCGCGTTGCCGTCCTGAGGGAAGAGGAGCGCCCCTGCGGCGGTCTCGTTGTCGCGGTACTGCGAGGCGGAGGCGTCCCAGAGGGCGGCATTGTACGCCGTCTTGAGTTTCGCTGCCGCGGCCGCCCATGTCGTTGCCTGTTCTCCGCGGTCGTTGGAGTCTGTCGCCGTATCGGCGGCAAGGCTTGCGAGGGAGAAGAGGGCGTGGTAGTTCAAGGCGTTGAGGGCGCTGTTATACCCTCCCCCACCTAGGCGCGCCCAGTCGTTTGTCTCGACTTGCTCTGCAAGGCCTATGCCGTTGCTGGCGTCGAGGGCGCGGAGGATATAATTCACGCCCGCTATGATGTTCCCCCACCGGCCGTCAACCCACGCTTCGTCGCGAGTGAAAACCGCGTAGTTGAAGCAAGCGATCAATGTCCAGGCATGATACGTATCGCTCTTCGCACTCCGTCTCCACGATCCAGTCGTCGGACCCGCGAAGGGTAATTGCCCCGTCGAGGCATTTTGGTAAAGGAACATGGTCTCCAGAGCAAAGAACACCGATTCCAACCCGGCGTCGCCGAGACCTAGGTACGCTGTCGTGCCCGCGATGCCCAAGTCGCCCGGCCAGACCGCGCGGTCTCGCTTCGCGCCGTCGAGGAGCATGGGGCCCTCGACGCCGAGGGTCGCGTTGTAGGCCCAGCCTGGTTTTACTTGAGGTAACCAGCGGGATGTGTTGGGGGGCGCGATGTTGGTCTGGGCTGTGAAGACGCCGGCGTGCCAGATGCGGGTTAGGAGGTCGTCGTCGGGTGTGTGGAAGTGGCCTGCCCAGAGGGCTGGGTTTGGCTGGGAGGGGGAGTAGGCTAGGTGGCAGATGATTGAGGTGATGGTGACGGGGCGGAAGGCGTGGAGGGTTAGGTATTTGAAGCCGCCGCGGAAACGTTCTTTGGGCATGGTGTAGGCGTAGGGGGTTGTTGAAGAGGAAGCGGGGATTGTGACGTTGAGGGCCTTGTCGTAGTCTTGGGTTGGTGTTGCGCCCGTGTCGTCTGAGATCTCACGGACGAAGGAGGGGGATTCGGCGAAGGCGAGTGAGAAGCGCGGCTCTGATGAGTTACTGGGTGATGATGATGTGTTGTTGGATTCCGTCATCATGGAGAGGAGACCGCCGACGTAGCCAAAGTCCAGGGAGACTTGGCCTCCTGGCTGGAGGGTGAGGACGAAGCTCCCGTCATCGGCGGAGGTCGTCACGTTGGCGGGACCGGAGACGGCGTGGATCCGTTGAGGGAGGACGGTCCGGGTGGAGGGGCTGTTGATGTAAGCTTCCCATGGCCGAGCTGGGTCCGGGTCCGTAGTGCTGGCCGTTGAGACGAGCAGCACGGATGAGAAGAGGAGGAGGAGCGTGAGGCGAATGACGCGTGCCATCATCGGGGCCATTGGGAGTAGCGGGCAGCGGAGGCGCAGGGAGGTGGGTGTTCCATTGTGATGTCGTGCCGGGCGGCGGGTCTCCGTGGTTTTCTTATTTCAACCGCACGACGAGGAAGTGAGTCTTCCTTGGCAGGCGATCCTGATCTAATAGGTCGGATGTGGGTGTAAGTCGGTGATATGGAGAAATTTCCCCCCGCGTTCATGTTAGCGAGATTGACGGGGGTGAAGGTCGGGGTAAGTCTGGAGCGAACCGGCGAGCGTTTGGCCGGGGTGCGGAGGCGGGGTTGGCGAGAGAGATGATCGCAACTCCAGATCACTGCTGGGGGTTAATATGCATTCCCTGTCAATCTTCTATCTTGTTTATTTGACTTGGGCCCTTGTACCAAGGTGTGAAGGCAATGAAACATGCAGAGCGTTTCTGTGCTCAATTCGTCAATCGTGTGTCAACATTTACATCAGCCTCATCCTAAGGAGAAAGTCATGATGGTTTATGAGGTGCCTAGACAAGGCAGTGGATATTTCGTCTGTCGATTGCGAAAGTGACCGCACTTTCCGAGAGGGACCTGTATATGATGGCTGCTCTCCGAAAGAAAGAAGTGAAAGGTATTTTGCCAGCTCATATGTCTTCTCAGAGCTTCGACGAGGTTCTCATGGAGGCGCTTCAAACAAGTCTGTCTCGGCCTCCAGAATAGAAGCTGTTAGTCGGTGTCACCTAGTTTTAGTATATTACGACATGGGCTTAGCTCTATACGTGAGTTACCTTGAATAGCGGGAAAGGCCCTCGTAGCCGTCGCGCTTCTGATACGCCCTTCTTACCATCGTTATGGTCGACGTACTCTTCATTTCCATCGAGAGCCTGGCCTTTCACACGCCGGATCAGCAATTGCAGACGTGAACTCTCTCGGCATTGGTAATTCTCAGCGCAGCTATTGTATGCTTTCCAGACTGTCCAGCTACCGAAATTCATCGCTTTCCCCCAATATCGTTCGAGTTACGCATGTATCAGGCCAGGTCCCATAACCCCAGCCCTCGCAAACCAGCGGGCAGGATATCTATATAAACAGTTACAAACTCGCGTCTCTACAATCTTCCAGCAAGGCCAATGAGGTATTGAATGGGCTTGTCATACAACTTCGCGACAGTGACACTAATTGCACGGCATGGGCAGTGCGACTCATCCCAATTTGCCATATCATGGCATCTACCCACATTCTACGCATTCGTTGTCCTCTCTCCCGCCCCATCAACCAACGGGGATCTATACCCCGCAGAATACCTGACATTCCATGTTAATGTGAGCCGAGAACTGCTGAGAATTCGCGGGTTGTGAGATGATGAGGTAATGAGTGACCCATGAAGTCTATTGCTGGAAGAGCATCGTCGCGAAACCGACGGCTCATCTCTGGTCTAAGGACTAGCGAGTAAAACAAGAGCAGCAAAATCAATGCGCAACACTGTTGTGTTCTATACTCTCGCTCTTGTCTCTGACTATCATGCATTATATAGTGTTTGAGATCACTCACACAAGCCCACTAAAGGTAGTTCATACAATCTATCAAGATGTGCTACCAACGGAGAAGGTCCAGTATCGGCACCCGCCATATTAAACTCCCTATTCATGCCTCCACCTACCCACACAGAGCACCGGACATCTAGACATGACCCCGATTTTGAAAGCCGTCGTTACGACCATGGTGGTACCGACCAAATATCAAAACCGACCAAGAGCTTGACCAAGACAAAGGCCAGATCACAAAACTCACACCTCCTTAAGCTCAATCATGTTCGTCTTTCCCCTTTCAATGACACAAGAACCCCTCATCTCACATCTTTAACACGATCTCTCACGAATACGTGAACGAGGACTAACGAGGCAAAGAGATGGGTCACGTCCTTTCAGCTATTACCCTTCGGGTGTGTGAACACCCGCCTGGCTAAAGGTGTCACCCTTGACGATGAGAAGGGCAAGAAGGATAAGCCGATACCTCCTTGGGTAGGAACTCCATTCCAATTGACAATGCGAGGAGTTCGTCGATTCATATAGACTACGAATGACGTCCGATGATGAAGTATGAAGTCAAGCTCGAGCCTGATCTTGTGAAGCTTACTTTGCTGCCCAGGGCGAATGATTCTCACTTAGGAAGGAACCCCATCAAACTATGTCATCTACGATGGTCTCACACTAAACACCAGATTGTCAAGAGAAAGAACCGCAGAGACTCCAGTTCATAAGAACAACCACTGCAGATGTTTCGAACAAACCTGCCTCAACTCACCTTGTCCACAAAGATGAAGTATCCCACTTAAAGCCAAGCACTTCCAACATCCCGGCGCCGTCGTAAGCCCTAAGGCAAGCCAAACATCGACATCCGTCAATGCGACAACCCAAACGAACGGACAAGCTACGCATAAGCCAAATAGCCGGCGCCCTCAAAACCCGCCGCTAGATAAACCGACGGCCTCATCATGGTCTCTCACTAATGTCAACAAAGTCAAACCCTTCCGTCGTCCGTGCCCTGCGAGGGATCTGGCACCGGTAAGCCATCGACGTAAGAACTCAAGTAAGACTGCTGTTGTGCCGCATCCTGCGCAGCTTAATCCAACTGAAAGGCGTTGCGGTCGAAGAACTTGAAAAAAGGGGTAAATTCATAAGACCGAAAGACGAGAGACGAATGACGAGGTGTTATGCTCTAGAGCATCCAACAAAACAAACAGTAGCCAGTCTAGTCACTCGTCAGCTCTTCTCAATCAAGCCACGCCGCAAAGCTGCAGGGCTCGGAATCCTCTCATGGCGCGGGAGACTCCCATTATTCGACCATGTCGAAAATCGTTCCCAACCAACGGATATCTGGCAGAACCAACGCTCCACTTGGAGCTGTCAGTTTGAGTTCAGCCGAACTCTCTGTGAGGCCAAAAAGGCTTTCTCACCCAACAAGACTCTGCCGAGTTGGTGGTTCTGGTGACGTTAGTTCCCGAGCAAGCTCTGTTCGCCGTGGGGCCTCCAAGAAGCCTGTGCGCAGAAGGGTAAGGGGAGTCTCGAAATCACAGGCTGCGTCGCTGTAGAAAGTTCTGTCAAGGCGATTGGGGGAAAACCGGTTCATCAAGTAGTCGAGCTGCCAACGCATCAAGCTCTGGGGCCAGCTGATTGTTAGTTAGCTAGCCCCAATGTCTCAGCACAGCCCAGCCTTCCCGCGAGACCCCAAAACGGCCTCTTGGACTTTTAGTACGAAGCCTGGCGCGCTTTCTGACGACGGGGTGTGTGGTCCTTTGGTTTCCCGCCATCGCGCCAATCCCGCGTCTATGGGAAATGCGCCGGGCACCACTTGTGGATGACGGGTGCGGGCGGAAGGGCAATTTCTTCGCTTTGGCTCCTTCGTCTGTGCGGCCACCCGTCCAACGACGACAGATTG